GTAAGGGCACTGTGGATCTCAATCTTTGGAGAGGATGTTTTTGGAATGTACCTTACTCCTCTTTTCTAAACACCATTCAAATTATTTTTGAAATGCCTATTTTTTTTTTTTTTTTTTTTGAGATGGACTCTTGCTGTATTGCACAGGCCAGAGTGCAGTGGAGCAATTTTGGTTCACTGCAAACTGTGCCTCCTGGGTTCAAGCAATTCTCCTGCCTCAGCCTCCCAAGTAGCTAGGATTACAGGTACCCACAACCATGTGCAGCTAATTTTTGTATTTTTAGTAGAGACAGGGTTTCGCCATCTTGGCCAGACTGGTCTTGAACCCCTGGCCTGTGATTCGCCCACCTCAGTCTCCCAAAGTGCTGAGGTTACAGGTGTGAGCCACCACACCCAGCCTGAAATGTCTATCTTTAATGTTGTCTCAAAGGACCTATGGAAGATACCCATAGCAGGGCTTTCTTTTAAGTGCAGATGTCTTTGTGCTTTCAAGTTCTGATAGCTGGCTTGACCCAACAACTGTTAATGAGTAACCTAAGTGACAGGCACATGACCAGGTTCTAATCCCTTCAGTGTGCTGCTGGCCCCACTGGTCCCAAGTCAGCCAGGAGTGCACATCTAAAGGATATGGGATCTGGTAACTGTGCTTACACAGAAGTCTTATGTTTTAGTTTTAAAATAATATGTAATGGCATTTACTTGCATTCAGTGGATGTCTAACTACGAATCAATTCTATACGCAATATGTCCCACAACACAACGGCTTCTTGTAAAAAGGCTGAAAATATGTACTCCTTTAAATTATATTGTTTAACCTGTAATCCCAGCACTTTGGGAGACCAAGGCGGCGGATCACCTGAGGCCAGGAGTTCAAGACTAGACTGGCAAACATGGCTAAACCCCATCTCTACTAAAAATACAAAAAATTAGCCGGGCATGTTGGTGCGTGTGTGTAATCCCAGCTATTCTCCTGCCTCAGCAGGAGAATCGCTTGAACCCAGGAGGCGGAGGTTGCAGTGAGCTGAGATCATGTCACAGCACTATAGCCTGGGCTAGAGAGCAAGACTCTGTCTCAAAAAAAAAAAAAAAAAAAAAAAAAAAACCCAAAATTATATTGTTTAGAAAATTGCTCTAGAAGTGAGTGAAGAGAAGGCATGTCCATCACAAAGATGGTGCTTCATATGTCTGTGCTGCCATTGGAGGTGATGATGATGAAATACTGAAGGCTCAAGGTGCATCAGCACCCCTTCCTTCCCCTGCTTTGCCTTTAGAGGAGTTGCCTCTGAGTCTGGGTCTTTCAGCTGTTCAGCTTGCCTGGGGAAAGCAAGGGGCCTCTTCCAGACTGTCACCTTTGTCTGCTTTTCATCGCTTGCTTCATGGTTTATTTTTTAAGGAAGATTTTTTCTAAAAAGCCTTCTGGCTTTCTTTCTCTTTCTTTTCCATTTCATCCTCTCTTACTCTGGGACAAGCTTCTTGAGTTTTTTGCAGGTACCATGTACTTTCCGAAGCAGTTGGATGCCTTTCTCTAGGGAACTGGTTCTATAACTTTCCAATGGAGACTTTAATTAGAAACTATGAAAGAACACTTGTAGCATAAAAGTCACCTAGTCATAGTCTGTTAGTTTCATACAGGCTCATGTGAGGTCAACTCCTTTCATTTAGTTTCTCAAACACAGTAGAGTTTTTGTAAAATTAATTATGTTACACTGAAGAGATAGCTTGAGATTTTCAGCACAGGTTTGCCATGGTATTAAAGATTTGAGAAAGTGGAGATCAAGATAAGAATCCTCATTTTGGACAGCTATTAGGCTAGAATCACTAAGAGGAACAGTAATGAATGAAAATGTATTAGACCTCCCTGTAATGCAGAATTTACCATCTGTTGCGCTATCCCATTAGTTTTTATTAAATTGATTGCCTTAATCTGGAGAGAAAGGATATTTTTGTGTCTGCCAACTTCAACTCCACTTACCTTACAATAAATAAATTCCTCTTTTCATTTTTCTTCCCAGCTGTCAGCCAAGCTCAATAACCTTCCAATGCTCATTTCCATGAGGCTGGAGTTCCTGCGAATCCTCTGTAGCCATGAACATTACCTCAATCTGAACCTTTTCTTTATGAATGCTGATACTGCTCCAACATCTCCCTGTCCTTCCATATCTTCTCAGGTAATAACAAAAATTATTTAACAAAAGAATTATTCAAGCTACTTCATTTAACTAGCTCAGTTTAATCGTGTATTTTCTATAAAGGTTAGTCTTATCAATTTGATGAAAAATAAAACTATTCAAACTATTCAAACCAGATCAAGTATGCTACCCTGAAGTTACACCACTAGCTAATAGTTTACAAGCGAAGTAATTGGTTTCTCCCCAGGCTCAAGGGTCCCTGATCAGCTTAAATAAAGCAAAGAATCCATAAGCCCTATGAAATTTAGAAACTCATAGAAAAGTCTCAGATCTTTCTTTGTCTGACATTAGCCAATTATTATGCAGATACAGGATTCCAGAGTAAATAAGTTTTGGAAACCAAACTTTCTTTCCAGTAGGCCCTCTAAGAGTCTGACTTGTTCCTGTCAATTGTAAATGCACAAGAAGTAGAAGAGGAAATGGGAGGAGGTGTCCATGATAAGCAGTGATTCCCAAAGTGATTTGACATGGAAACCCCACGCCACCTCATACATTTTTCAGAGGGCTAGTGTTCTCTGGAATAACTTTAGGAACATGCTGTTTGATAGTCACATTCCATTTATAGGGAACACAGTAGCTCAGAGCATCACGCAAAAATCCTTATTATTAGGTCGTATTTCTGTTGCATATTCCTTGATACTAGCACAAAAGTGAGGCCTTGTCTTACTAATTGAAAAAAAAAATCTTAGCCATGTATGCCATATGGCATGACCCAGATATTACCTACATGACCGTCTTACTGTGAACAGGGAAAGAGGTGACTCAGAAGCAGCAGTTCCAAATGTGTAAACTTTTTGCTCCATCCTGCCCAGCAGCTTATGTCTAAAAACTTCCCTGGACTAAGCTTGCCGTAGGTTCTTTTCCACCTTCCCCTCTGACTGCCCCAGGGAGTGGCCAAACCCAGGGGCCAGGCTCACCGAACAGTGAAGGATTTCTAGAGACACTTTAGATGCTCTTAATGAAATATAAAGTGTGTTCCCAGGATACGAATACAGGACCGGAATTACCGAGGACCGGTGAATCTAACACTCCCCTGCCTGACATCACTTCTAGTTCCAGACCAGCAAAAGTCTGACAACGTGCTTAAGCCAAATTTAGAATCATAGCTGAGGCCAGGCATGGTGGCTCACACCTGTAATCCCAGCACCTTAGGAGACAAATCGGGCAGATCACATGAGGCCAGGAGTTACCAGCCTGATCGCATGGTGAAAACTCACCTCTACTGAAAGTACAAAAATTAGTCAGGCGTGATGGTGCCCCTGTAATCCCAGCTACTCAGGAGGCTGAGGCATGAGAATTGCTTGAACCCAGGAGGCAGAGGTTGCAGTGAGCTGAGACCATGTCACTGCACTCCAGCCTGGGCAACAGAGTGAGACTCTGTCTTAAAAAAAAATTGTAGCTGAGTAAACAGGGCCTTAAACAAAGTGGGCAGTTGGTTATAGAGGAATCGCCTGCTCCCAGCCACAGGACTGTGTGAGGTTCTTATTTCTCTGTCCAAATTTTATCCTAGGATTATCTTCAGCTTTTGATTTCAGGTGGGTAAGAGAGTGACATTCATTTTTCAACAGAGCCTGAGTGCTTCATCTTCATCTTTCCCGCTGGGCAGTCTTCCCTCTGTGGGAAAGGGAAAGCGAAGTAACCACTCTTGTCTGTTTCCTTATCTGCCATGATCAGTACCTACCTGGCTGGGGAGGGCTCACACAGCCTGGCTGGGGCAAGGGCTCAGTAAACACTAGCCATGGCTATTTTCATTTCAGTTCTTGTGACTCATAAAATGGCTCCTTGTGTTTCTGTAGAACTCAAGCTCCTGCTCCAGTTTCCAGGACCAGAAGATCGCCAGCATGTTTGATCTGACTTCCGAGTACCGCCAGCAGCACTTCCTCACCGGGCTTCTCTTCACAGAACTGGCTGCTGCCTTGGATGCCGAAGGGGAAGGGTATGTTTTTGGCATTTAAAATGGAAGATGAGCTGGGCGCAGAGGCTCACGCCTGTAATCCCAGCACTTTGGGAGGCCAATGCGGGCAGATCACGAGGTGAGGATGTCGAGACCATCCTGGCCAACATGGTGAAACCCTGTCTCTACTAAAAATACAAAAAAAAAAAAAAATTAGCTGGGTGTGGTGGTGCATGCCTGTAGTCCCAGCTACTTGGGAGGCTGAGGCAGAGTTGCTTGAACCCGGGAGGCGGAGGTTGCAGTGAGCCGAGGTTGCGCCGCTGCACTCCAGCCTCACAACAGAGCAAGACTCCGTCTCAAAAAAAAAAAAAAAAAAAAAAAAGGAAAATGAAGCCAAAAAAAAGATACCCCTTAATAAAGTTTGCAGTCCAGCTTCTCACACTTGGTAAACAACTCTACTGTCCGCCAGTTCTGAAGAGTAGAAACATCTATGTCTTGAGAAAATGGTACCCCTAGGAATGTAGAAAACCACAGAGATGGGCAAGAAGCACAGAACGACTTTTGCTGGTCACTTACTTGAGTGGAATTTACAAGTTCTACTACAGCAGGTTTCCCAAGGATGCTTTGACTAATGAACTCCCTAGGAACAAAGCCATTTTTAGCAAAGGGGATAGCATGCAGAGGCAACCAGAAGATGCCCCTTGGTTCAATGCTGGTGAAGGAAATAATGGCTGCTGAGAAGGCAGCGGCCCCATGCCCAGATTAGCTTTCTTATAGACCATGCTTTTCAGGCCAAGAGACACCACACACCCAGGGCTTCTGAATCCTTTTACCTCTTGTCTATCTGATTACTCAGGGACATGTGGCAGTATCTAGCCTAGAAGTCAACAGAGAGAGAGGTAGACCGCCCCCTTCTTTCCTTCTCTCCCTATGCTCCATGAGCTCATAGAATCAGAAACCCACAGCCTACCTGATTGGACTGAAGAAGATAATGCCTTCTAAAGTCTTATTCACTCCATTCAACAATTATTGAATGCCCTCCATGGGACAGACACAGTTAGGTATGGGAGCACATCAGAGATATATCTGTGCACCAAACAGACAAAATTCCCTGCCCCTCTAGAGTTTACCATCCAGGGACTCAGATTCAAAGATTATGAGGATTGGAAAGTAATTGAGGTTCAACACTTTCGGTGTTTAGATTAGGCATACAGAATTGCAGGAATTGGCCTACTATTCCATAACAGAAAACCAAATCTAAAGCCATGGCCTTCCCAGTCCCTTCCCAGGACCCACTCTCCTATACCAAACCACCTCCCTGCCCAGGGAACCTGTTCCCATAACTCCTATGCTAAAGAAGTTTCCAGAATAATGTTTGCTAATTAATGGTAGCATTGCTGTGTGTTATGGATGGACTTTTGCCTAAATGGAATTTCTCAAGTTCTCTCAAAGTGCTTACAATTCAGTGAAGGAAACAGGAGGTCCCTGCATGAAACAAATACAGGAGCACTTCAAGTTTGTGCAGCTGCAACAATCACATGCATTCCAAGCGATGTGCCTATGCTGACCCTGCTTAACTGACTGTGTGTCTGTGTCTCCTGGCAGGATAGTGTGGGGAATCTCATGCTCTAAACTCTCAATTCTGCCTCCTTCCAGATAACCTGGTCCTGAGTATATCTTTTGAGAACTTCACTTTCCATGGCTTCAATTCTATCTTCTTTTCTCAACCCTATCTAAATTTCCCCCAATTATCTCAGTAGAATTTCCTACCCTATAACTAACAACATAAATTTCCACAGCAACAAAAAGTGCACTGACACATATGCTGATAAGATACTGAGAAGAGAGTTTGAACACAAAGAAAATTGCCTTCATGCACAAACATATGTTTTCTTAGTTGTTCTTTAATAGCAGAACTTTAAATGATTTCTAGAAACAATCTTTAGTATTTATATTAGTGTAGTTTCTACTTTCTATTTTCATTCTAGCTGGAAACAGCCCTGACATCTGCTTTGGATTCTTTGCAAAATTGTTGCTGTTGTATTACTAGCAACAGGGTAGAGTATATTCAGAGATTATCATGTAATTATATTCAGTCGGGTAGATACATTCTACAGTGTCCCTCTCCCCGCGCCCCCCCCCCCCCGTACCTTCTCTCCCCCAAGAAAGTAATTAAGAATGTAACTCCTTTGGCAACACAATAATCCCTGATTGCTAGTTGTCAGTCTCCTGGTAAGTCATTAGATATACTGTCACAGCTTTATGTGAGCTAAAACCTCCGAAAAATGTCATACTTCAACAATACTCTCTGTTGATCAGTACTTCTTTCTTTTGCTTCCAAGACAGTTAGTAGACTTGCCAACACCTGTACATCTATGGGGTAAGGGGCAGTGGGAGTCAGTAGCTGAATCCCTAAGGAGCCACAGCTCCAGTTTCCACTGGGTTTCCCTTAAATCTCTGGCACCTGAGTGTATCCACAAATGTCCATGTATCATTAAATCCACAGTGTTTTTCGAGCATTTAGAAATTGTCTATCATCTTTGTGTTAAGCTAGCAAATTGCAATGCCTAATTCAAAACACAACTCATTGCCAGGACCACAGACTAAGAACAAGAACAACTTTTGAAATGCAATTTACAATTATCTTACTTTAGCCACAGTGCAAGAATCTGAGTCATTTAAAATTTTGGTTAATATTTTCTATATAACTTTGAATTTTCATGTAGCCTTATTTTGTTTGAGGAAAAAAATGTGTGTTTCTAAAATTGAACATCTACTGCTAGGTTCCAGATACTCCACTATATATTTTATTTACTTTTTATTATATATAATTTATATGAAGGACCCAAATCTTAAGTGTAAAATGCAATTACTTTTTCCTGTGAATATGTTTGGGTAACCACCCGTCAGATCAAAAATATAATATTCCACTATTCTCTCTCAGTTACAGGCACCCCTCAAGTAACCACTATTCTTTTATCACCAGAAATTAATATTGCCTGTTATTGAATTTCATAGTCTTTTGCTGAATATTGTGATTGTGAGATCCTTCGGTGTGGTTGCATGTGTCAGTATTCATTTTTTCCAACTGTGTTTCATATTCCTTTGTCAACTATAATTTCTCTACTGTAAGTTGACATTTTGGCTGCCTTCAGTTTGTGGCTATTATGAAAATAGCCACTGTGAACATGCCCGTGCATGGTTTTGGGTGGACAGTAGAACTTATTTATTTGGGGATGTAAATACAGCCTATTTTTTATTTCAATATACTGTTCTCGAATAATTTAATAAATATGTGTACCCAGTCTTAACAAGATGTTAAAAGAATATACTCTGAGCTAGGAAAAGAAGAGCAAACAATTCAAAGCAGACAGATGGCAGGGAATAACAAAGGTGACAGCCAAAATAAATGAAATAAAGAATAGAAAAACAATCGAGGAAATACATAAGACCAAAAGCTTGTTATTTGAAAAGAGCAACAAAATTCACCAATTTTTAGCTGGACTGACCAAGAAAAAAGGAAGAAGACTCAATTACTAAAGTCATAATTGAAAGAGGGGATATCACAACAGAACTTACAGAAATAAAAAGGATTATAAAAGAACTATGAACAATTGAAAGCCATCAAATTGATAACCTAGATTAAATGGATAAATTCCTTAAAAGATACAAAGCACTGAAATTGACTCCAAGAAGTAGAAAATCCAGTAGACCTACAACAAGTAAAGAGATCGAGTTAGCAATCAAACTTCCCACATATACCTACTATGAACCCACACAAATTAAAAATTTAGGCTGGGTGCAATGGCTCACACATGTAACCCCAGCACTTTGGGAGGCTGAGGCGGGTGGATCACCTGAGGTCAGGAGTTTGAGACCAGCCTGGCCAACATGATAAAACCCTGTCTCTACTAAAAATACAAAAATTAGCTGGGTGTGGTGGCAGGCACCTGTAATCCCAGATACCGAGGAGTCTGAGGCAGGAGAATCATTTGAAACTGGAAGGCAGAGGTTGCAGTGAGCCGAGATCATGCCAATGCACTTCAGCCTGGGCAAGAAGAGTGAAACTCCATCGCAAAAAATAAATAAATAAATAAATAAATTAAATTAAAAAAAATATATATATATATACATATAAAACTTTTAAAATACTTACCACAATAAAAGCCCAAACCTGGGGGGCTTTACTAATGAATTCTACCAATTATTTTTTAAAGAATTAATTCTAATTTTGTATCAACTTCTAGTCATCTATTCCAAGGAATAGACCAGTATCTGATGAATATAGATGTAATACCCTCAACAAAAACTAGCAAACTGAATCCAACAACATATAAAAAAGATTGTACACCGTGGCTAAGTAGGATTTATCTTAGGAATGCAAGATAGGCTTCATATCTGAAAATCAATTGATGCGCCATATTAATAAAATAAAGGACAAAACCCATGCAGTCATCTCAGTAGATGCAAAGAAAAGCATTTAATAAAACCTAATAACCCTTCCTGATAGTAAACCTTTTAGGAAAGAGAACTTCCTCAACTTGACTTAAGGGCCTCTATAAAAAATCCACAACTAGTGTGACACTTATTAGTGAAAAACTAAGAGCTTTCTCACTAAGATTAGGAAAAAGATAAAACTGTCTACTCTTGCCACTTCTATTCAATATGTACTAGGAGTTCTATCTAGCGCAATTAGGCAAGAAAATAAAAGGCATCTAGGCTGGGCGAGGTGGCTTAGCCTGAAATCCCACCATTTTGGGAGGCTAAGGTGGACAGATTGCTTTGAGCTCAGGAGTTTGAGACCAGCCTGAGCAAGACGGCAGACCCCATCTCTACAAAAAAATACAAAAATTAGCTGGGCATTGGTGGTTCGTTCCTGTAGTCCCAGCTACTTGGGAGGCTGAGGATTGAGAATCACTTGGTCCCAGAAAGCAGAGGTTGTACTGAGCCGAAATTGCACCACTGCACTCCAGCCTGGACGACAGAGTAAGACCCTGTCTCAAAAAAAAAAAAAAAAAGCATTTAAATTGGAAAAGAAGTAAAATTGTCTCTATTCATAGGTGGCTTAATCTTGTTTATAGAAAATTACAAGGAATCCACAAAAAAAAAAATCTATTAGAACTAACAAATGAGTCCATCAGGGTTGCAGGGTACAAGATCAACATACAAGAATCAATTGTGTTCTATACACTTATGATGAGCGATCTGAAAGTGAAATTAAGGCAACAATTTTATATAAAATAGCATCAAAAAGAAAAAATGCTTAGGAATAAGTGTAACAAATACAAGACTTATACACTAAAAACGACAAAACACTGTTGAAGGAAATAAAGATCTAAATAAATGAAGGGATATCATATGTTCATGGATCAGAAGACTTAATAGTAAAATAACAACACTTCCCAAATTGATCCATAGATTCAATGCAGTTGTCAAAATTCTAGCTTACTTTTTTTTTTTTTTTGGCAGAAATTAGCAAACCAATCCTAAAATTTGTGTGGAAATTCAAGGAACCCAATATAGCCAAAACAACCTTGAAAAACAAGAACAAAATTGGAGGACTCACACTTCCCAATTTCAAAATTTACTATAAACCAAAAGTAGTCCAGACAATTGGGTTCTGACATATGATAGACATATAGCTCAATAAAATTGAATTAAGAGTCTGGAAATAAATCTTCATATTTATAGTCAATTGATTTTTGACAAGAGTGCCAAAACAATTCAGTGGGGGAAAATAGTGTTTTCAATAAATGGCACTGGGGCAACTGGATATCCACGTTCAAAAGAATGAAGTTGGACCCTATATTACATCATATACAAAAATTAACTCAGATAGATCAAAGATCTAAATGTAAGAGCTAAAACTATAAAATTATTACATAAAATTATAGAGGTAATCATCATAAACTTAGAAAAGGCAATGGTTTCTTAGATATGGCACACTCAAAAGTGTAGGTAACAAGAACGAAACAGAAAACTGGACTTCAGTAAAATTAAAACTTTTGTGATTTATAGAACACCATCCAAAAAAATGAAAAGACAACCCACAGAGTGGGAGAAAATATTTGCAAATCAAAAACCTAATAGGGAACTTGTATTTGGAATATATATTTTAAAATCTTACAACTCAATAATAAAGACAACTCAATTTTTTAAAAGGCAAAAGATTTAAGAATAGACATTTCTCCAGAGAAGATAGGGCCATAAGACCATGAGAAGATGTTCAGCATCATTAGCCATCAGGGAAATGCATATCAAAATCACAATTAAATACTACTTGATACCCACAAAGATGGATATAATAAAAAAGACAGATAATAAAGTATTGGCAAGAATAAAATGGAGCCTTCAGACACTGCTGGTGGGAATGTAAAATTGTGCAGCCACCATTGAAAACAATTTGCTGATTCCTCTAAAAGTTAAATAGAGGCTGGGTGCGCAGTGGCTCATACCTATAATCTCAGCACTTGGGGAGGCTGAGGCAGGCAGATCATTTGAGACAAGGAGTTCAAGACCAGCCTGCCCAACATGGTGAAACCCTGTCACTAATAAAAATACAAAAATTAGCCAGGCATGCTGGTGGGCACCTGTAGTCCCAGCTACTCAGGAGTTTAAGGCAGAAGAATTGCTTGAACCCTGGAGGTGGAGGTTGCAGTAAGCCAAGATCGTGCCACTGCACTCCAGCCTGGGCGACTCCATCTCAAAACAAACAAACAAAAAAGTTAAACAGAGAGTTACTATTCAATCCAGCAAATATACTCTGAAGTATGTACCCAAGAAAAGTAAAATTTGTACACAAATATTCATAGCATTCATAACTCATAATAGCTCAAAAGCAGAAACAATCCAAATGTTTGTCAATTGATGAATGGATAAATGAAATTAGATGGAATCTTACTTAGCAATACAAAGGAGTAAAGTACTGAGCTACAATATGAAGAACCTGAAAACATCATACTAAACAATAAACCTAGGGTTATTTCTGGATTCTATATAGTTCTATCTTCTACTGCTTGGTTTTCACAGTAACCTCATTGCTTAGGAGCATGTGGATCACTCTTGACTGTTGAAGAGCACTTTAGTCAATTTCCCTTCACCATAACCTCTTGATTCCTGTGTTGTGCCAACAGAATCAGCAGAGTGCAAAGGAAAGCTGTCAGTGCCATCCACAGCCTGCTAAGTTCTCACGATCTGGACCCACGCTGTGTCAAACCAGAGGTGAAGGTCAAAATCGCTGCCCTGTACCTGCCTTTAGTTGGCATCATTTTGGATGCTTTGCCACAGCTCTCTGACTTTGCAGGTAATGGCCCTTCTGTTTTCTTTCTTGGATTGATGGGGGCCCCTGTCAAATGCCCCATCTGAATGAGGTCTCTGTCTTTCGTTCCAGTGTTGAAATGTTCATATGAGCAATTCTTCACAACAGTGGTCTCCAAACCTCTTTAACTCAGGCCCCAATCAGTTAAAAAAAAAAAAAAAAAGACGCATAACCCCATGTGTTTTTTGTTTAGAAATTATTTACTTATTTGTTCATTTATTTATTTATTCATTGATCTGCTAGTGTGGGGTGAACTTTATAAACCATACACCACAGAGGATGAAATAATCACAGAATTACTCCCTTTGGAGATTATGCTCTAACACCTTGAAATAAAGGTGTTCCTTCCCTTTTCTTTTATGAATAGGTAAGCAAAAAAGCAATCTCAAATGAATCCAAATAATTCTTCCATGGAAGAAAAAAATCATGGCATATGTCAGTATTAGAAAATTCTAGCATAGCAGAGAAATTTTGCCTTTGGCACTAAGTGGCTAATTTTGAGGTTAATATCTCTAGATTAGCAAAAGAGGAAAGGATAAGTTTTCTTAAAGGGGTTTTGGGAAACCCCTGAGTCTATTTACAAATTACAGTATGGATTAGGGAATGTAGAGGGGGAAAAAACCCTCCCAAATAGAAGAACTTCTTATGTTGACCTAAGAAAGGCAGTCCATCAACCTACCCTCTCTACAACATACATGTGTGTGCATGCACATGCACATGCACACACACAAAATTCTGATGCCATCAGAGTAGTTCTTGCTTTTCCTTGAAATCTTGGAACCATCCAGGTTTTCCCACCTCCTCCACGTGGGAAGTGTCGTGTGTGACTAAATTATTTATAATATCATTACAGTGACAAGTATTTAGTTCATGAAAATGGAACCAAACACCCATAGCCTTTAATCATAAAATCATAAAATGAAAAGCAAGTATTCCTATGGAAGTAATTCTCTCCTTTCTTGAAAAAAATCCTCCAGCAAACTGCTAAAGGGGTAACTTGGAAGAGAAAGGTTGAGGCACGGGCTAGGGTTTGTGGAGTTCTGTTGGGGCCGGAGTGCAAGGAAATGACAGAATCAAGCTCAGCACACGGGGCTGAGCAAGCTACACCATGAGGTCAGCAGCTTCCTCCAGTAGCGCCTGATTGTGGGGAATTGAAAACAGAGTTGTTTTTAACATTTAGAGACGTAATGCAGAGCACGGCATGTGACTTGCAGCCCATGTTGAGAGTCCTTGCTGGAAAGTTTCTAAAAAGTTCCATTTCTAGAGCCCGCTTGTTCCCAAAGCCAGGAAGCACTTTAGCACACATTCTCCAACGTTTTCTTGTCGATTAGAATATTCCATATCAGTGACTCAGAATCAGAACTTTTCAACATTTGGTCTCCGAGCCTTTTAAACCTCAGAGACTTCTTTGTATACGCATTGAACTTTATGGTCATGATGTAGCTGGCAAGAGAAAATTGTGAAAAGTATTTTATTATTATAGCTTACATAGCACATCTATTATATATAGAATCTTTAGGTTGATAAACTCGTAAGCATATAATCTTTCAAATAGATGCATCTGAATTCAGATTCCTGCCCCCCTTTATGAATATGTGACCATTGAAAGACTCAACTTCTCCGTGCCTTCCTTTCCTCTGTAAACTGTAAAAATGTGATAACAATGCCTACCTTTTAGGGTAATGATAAAGATGAAACTAGAGAACTTCTATAAAAGCATTTGCACAGCACATGTTTGCATCTTCCCCACTTTTTCTTTCAACTATAACCCTATGATGATTAAGGGGAAATAAGTATGTGTCTCTATGTTAATTGTGATAATATTATTAGGTCTTACGTAATTTCCATGTGCTGTTTATTTAACTGTTTGTTTAAAATCCCAATGACCTTAATAATTATCTTTAAAAACTGAGTTTTGGCTAGGTGTTGTGGCTTACCCCTGTAATCCCAGCACTTTGGGAGCAAGGTGGGCAGATCACTTGAGGCCAGGGGTTCAGGACCAGCCTGGCCAACATGGCAAGTCTCGTCTCCACTAAAAATACAAAAATTATCCAGGTGTGGTGGCACACCTGTAATCCCAGTTATTTGGGAGACTTAGGTAGGAGGATCAAGGTGGAGATTGCAGTGAGCAGAGATGGCGCCACTGCACTCCACCCTGGATGACAGTGTTAGACTTTGTCTCAAAATAAATAAATAAATACATACATAAATAAGAACTGGGTTTTGTTTTCACAACTTTAGTGGAAAAAATGTTATTTAAACTCAAAATTTTTTAAAGAATTGAAGGCCCAGATGGCTGTAATGTTGACAGGTCTAGTAAAACATGAGTTTTTAGTAAAGCAGGAGAGAATCAATCAGTTTTGAATGTTTTACCACACTTTCCCCAGAACTGCTTGAAATATTAATAGGTTTTGAGTGTATGCTCGGTAGCATCCTTAAAAACCAGAATTTTAAATGGTTTATCCTTTTTCCGTGCTTGCATACATCTAGACCCATCTATAAATATGACTGTGTCTATGTTACGTAGATATAATAAATTGACATTCATTTTAAACATTTGAAGTATAACAAGTTATTGCTGAACTTGTGATAATAGCTTATTATTCTATATAGGGTATGGGCTTAATTCTGCAATTGTAGATTTCTTCTATTTGGTCATTATTTAATGTCAATTATTAGAATAGAGAATAAAGTTTTAAAAATTATGTTACAGGAACTGTTACGGATGTTTTGAAAACTTTTTGTTCACACAATTTGAAAAATTGATTTCTGGCCTAATCTTGTGCTAGACATCGTCTCTTTTCTTAGCCTGCCTATGTTTTCCTATAGATGGTAGCAGATAAATAATGCTAAACATCAGGTTTAAAATTACTGTGCTGACTTTAGTAACTAAGAAATATCAGTCTCTTATTGGGTAGGGGACATAGGGAAGTGTCATGTTTGGCTTGACATCACAAATGATGTTTTCATTCCATTGCAGCTCTGCGTCATTGGAAAAGTCGCACCAGTGGCTCGGATGAAGAACAAGAAGGACCCAGTGCCATCAACCAGAACGTGGCTCTGGCCATAGCAGGGAATCATTTCAATTTGAAAACAAGTGGAATGATGCTGTCTTCCTTGGTATGTTGGTGCACATGTGTCTGATTTATTTTTCATTTCATGCCTTCTGTCATTTTTTCTGTTTTTGAGACAGAGTCTCACTCTGTTGCACAGGCTGGAGTGCAGTGGCTTGGTCTGAGCTCTCTGCAGCCTCCGCCTCCCAGGTTCATCCTCCTGATTAGCTGGGACTACAGGTGTGCACCACCACACCTGGCTAATTTTTTTTTTTTTTTTGTATTTTTTTAGTAGAGACAGGGTTTCACCATGATGGCCAGGTTGGTCTCCAACTCCCAATGTCAGGTGATACACCTGCCTCAGCCTCCCAAAGTGCTGGAATTACAGGCATGAGCCACCATACCCAGTCTCTTCTGTCATCTTCCAATGGGAAAACTCAGCTTAGAGCAGGCAGTGATGGTTTCCACCTCACGTTGCTGGAAAGCATCACTGTGAGACTGGCACCTAAGGCGCACATGAGTCAGACAGCGTTCTGGCAACTGCAAGAGATGTACAGATCAAATTTAGGCAGTCCCAGTGGTGCTGAGTTCAATCAAGTTCAAGAAAGCAGAAAAGAGGAAAACTTGGGAAATGTTGTAAGATCCTTGCAAAGGAGATCAAACCAAGGCTCCCTGAGGGTGGAGGCTTACATTGTGTTCAATCTATGTGTATATAATTCATCCTGTGTTATGCCTCCAAAAAAAAAGATTGAAGGAGGCTGGTAGCTTAGCATAAGGGCTTCCTGAGCAAAAGACTGCAGCTTTTCTAGGACCCCAGGGAGCCTAAGGAGGGTTGTTTGGCTCTGTCCTTTTGCATGGACTCTGTGGAATTAAAGAGGGGCTCCTCTGGGAAGGCATCTTCTGATTCAGTTGAGGTGGAATTCATCTTTCTTCCTTGATGAGCTCTGACTATCCCTTGTGAAATCAGCACTGCATCCCCCAGCATCATTTACTTTTACATTTCAATGTAGGGTATAGATCTGCAGAGAACTTAACTTGCTTCTCCCATGAGAAGGCAGCATCCTGACCTAACTCTTCTTGCCGGATGACCGTCTTCTCTTCCTTCCAGCGCTTAGCAAGCCCCGTCTTCGTGAGAACTGGGGAGGCAGCAAGGCAGGAAGATGAGACAGAGAAAAGACATTGAGATTTTACATCACTGATCTCATATTTGGAGAAATACTGTGTTTTATGACCTCCTCCACCTTTCTAATGTCCATCTTACCCAAGTTAGCTGCTCGAGGCGGTATATGCCTTTTACATTATTTGCCTCTAAAGGAAAAACTCAAAAGCCCAAAGTTCACCTGTTAGAGCATAGTCCTTGTGAGTTTATATCTCAAGATTTCCTTTATTCTTGTCAACAAACTCAGAGTAACTGAAGTTACAGTTACTTTATAACCTCTATGATTTCTGTCCAAAACTAATATTTCCCTCCCATATCCACAAATTCCTCATTGCAATTTTACCAGTACATTCCACAGGTTATTAGCTATGCTGCATGAACCAAGGGTGCAGCCTCATTACAGTTGTTTGTGTTAATGAGATGAGTAACAGAGAGTGTGCTTAGCACTTCAGAATGAATACTTGTGGCCAAAATATTAAAGCCAATCGCCTGAACCCCCACACCCCCGCCCCAAGCAAACATAAATTGTGGTTAAACTTCCATTACAGAGAACTCCACAAACATGGATTTGATTACTTTGCTGAGCAGTTCGTGACCCTTATGTTGTACTTTGGACTATGTAACAAAGAAGCTGAATCTTGAACAGCAAGGTTATTCATGGCACCCAGCCAGTTTCCTTCTCCCCTGTAAGTCTAACCCTCTGCTGTCCAGCAGGAAGGAGAAATACTAGGAGATCTCAGCAGCATGAAAGCCCCTTTGTATCACTGGGATTGCAGCATGCGTGGTCAAGGCCCAGGGCAGATCACCAGGCCACACTGTTCCTGAGACAGAGGTACCCAGATAGGTTGCTGAAAGCCTGGCCCAAATCCTGCCCCAGGCAAGCCTCTTTGCTGAGTAGCCCTGCTCAAAAAACACAGCTTCCCCTGCTGTGGAAGGCAGGGCTACTGGAAGCAGATCTCCAGCCTTGCAATGAAGTACAGTCATGGTATTCTAAGATAACACATTGAAATTTTCTGTTGCTTGCCTGCTAAGTCTCAGATTTTTCTGTTGTTTGACTTCCTCCCTGGCCCCCATCTCCCATCTGCCTCCCTCCAGCCCTATAAGCAGTACAACATGCTGAACGCGGACACCACCCGCAGCCTCATGATCTGCTTCCTCTGGATCATGAAAAATGCTGATCAGAGCCTCATTAGGAAGTGGATTGCCGACCTGCCATCAGTGCAACTCAACAGAATTTTAGATATACTTTTCATCTGTGTCTTCTGTTTTGCATACAAGGTAAGTCTGGAGTGGCACAACTTTACGCCAGCTCTTATATCTCAAGCGCAATTCTGTCTTGTTACTCATCCTCTTTGTTTGGGCCGTGGAGGCGTCATTAATTTTTCTCATTTCTGTATTCAAATCCATAGTGCGTTTGTATGTATAGATATGATCATTTCACAGGGAAAGGATCTCTGCCTTCTGTAGAGAGATCCCTATTCCTGTTAACAGAATTTTGGCCATAGGCTGCCCCAGAACAGCATCTCTGTGTAGCACGTGTCAAAACTGGCTGGCATCACTGTGGAGTGTACCGTTTTGATAATTCTCCACATCAACAGAGATCTCACCAAAGGACATGTTCTTCTGCCTCTGTCTTGTCCAGGGAAAACAGAGTTCTGACAAAGTCAGTACCCAAGTCTTGCAGAAGTCAAGGGATGTCAAGGCCCGGCTGGAAGAGGCTTTGCTCCGTGGGGAAGGGGCCAGAGGGGAGATGATACGCCGCCGAGCTCCAGGTGTGTTGAACCGGCCCCGCCCTGCTTTCTGTCAGACAGTTTTTCACTGTTTGTGGGGAAGAATGTCCTCCCAACATGATGAGACACCATTACTTTCTTGAGTTATTTACAGTAGTGTCGGAGACAGCAGATTCTGGGAGCCTGTGTGTGACATTTGTGTTAGCCCTGTGCCTTTGAGTGAAAGCGCTGTCCTACAGTCATAGGAACCCTGAAAACAGCACCAAATGACATCTTTTAATTAAAATGTGTTGATGGTAAAAGGTCACCTCTAAGAATATCAGTCATGGATGAGGTGGAAGGTGTTTCCCTCGAGACTGAGGCCTTTCTAGGTGACATTTGACAAGTCTATCTGGAGCATGGTCAAGAAACTGAATAGTTCTGGGCCCAAGGTCATCTCCTTGGATCATTCAGGGCACTATTAGAATGGAACCAGTTCCCTGAAATGGTTTCAGAGTGTCCCATTCATTCAAGGATTCCACCACAGGAGGAATGATCTCAAAAAGGCTGAGCGCAAATAGAATGAAATGTCCAGGTACCCTTCGTCTTATTCACCATGCTCAAAGTGAAACAGAGTGACAGCTTATTGTATTTGAAGGGACACAATGACAGAGAACTTGGAGGGAGCTCATAGTTTCAGTGGTGGTCAGGACCCTCATTTGACACCCATACTTTCCTACCCAATAATTCAGTAAGCCCCAGAGTTTCACAGGAACCCTCTGATCATGAGAAATGTCTCTCTGACACTCAGAAAGGCAGAGGTTCTTCTCATATTCTAGTATATCAATCAAAGAACAAGCCAACTTGGACGCAGGCATGGCAACTTTGTCTCCTGCCAACAACCGGCATGGACTCTAATTAGCCTGAGAAATGGTGCTGGGGCCTCTCCATTGAGCTTGTTATGAACTTCTGGTTATCTTGGAGGGTTTCATGCTAATCAAATTCCTATCATGCATTTCTTAACTCCTAGGGAATGACCGATTTCCAGGACTAAATGAAAATTTGAGATGGAAGAAAGAGCAGACACATTGGCGGCAAGCTAATGAGAAGCTAGATAAGTGAGTCACTCAGCAACTTTGTGCTACTTTTACCTTAAGTCCAAAACTATTTTTCCCAGGCTACTTGTATTACTGAAACAACCGCATCCTTCCAAGGGTAAGAAAATGAAACATCATTATCTGCGTAAATACAATTCATCCCCGGACAAAATACAATTCATCCAGGGACCCAGGATAATCAAAGGTATAGGGAGTTGTGGTTTCCAGTTCTTAAAAATTTGTCACATTGATAAGCATTTAAAGAAAACTAATATTTCATTAGCAACCTCAGATGGCTTAATAAAAGCAGCTGATTTTCTGGGGAGGGTAGCAGGGAAATAGAGAAAGCAGGACACGGTGCCTAGGACCACGTATTTTCAAATTAACATTTAAGTTCTGAGAATGTGTACAAAAATATACATTCAGAGATATTTATGTCAGTACTACTTAAAGTCGTTTTTTTAAAATTGAAAACATTCTAAATGCACCAGAATAGGAAAATTGCCATCAAAATGTTTTAAAATCATTTTAATGACATGGAGAAATGCTTATGACAATGTTAAATGAACAAAGGCTGGGTAGACACTTCATTTTTGAGTAGAATCTCAAATCTCTGATGACATATAGTCAATGTATTTTTTAAAGGCTGGAAGGACACTTACCAAAATATGAATTGTGGTTTTCTTTGAGTGTTGGGAATATCAGTAATTGATGTTTTCTCTTTTATACTTTGCTATGTTTCCTGCAGTAGATATATATTATAATATATATTGTTATCAGAAAAAAAAATTATGAAGAAATGAAAAAATAAAAAAACCTGTTTGGATCAAAATCTATGCTGTAGATGAATAGTGAGATATATTGATGTGTATTGCTATATATGCAACAATGTAGATCTATGAAAGCTAAAAGTATTTATGTTTGACTAGATAGCACGTATTTCTAATACCATTAATCCACAAATAGCCTAATGAGACCCAGGGTTCACTGAGCAAAATGTTGTAGAGCTAAAATCACTCCTCACCCACAGTTGACTTGGTAGGATACCCAATGGGTGATGAGGCACCCATTCTAGCAGGTATGGGGCAGACTTGAGTAGCAGTGTTGTTTTGTAAATAAATGTGAGGTCGTATCTTTGCTGTTACTACAAGAATGAATCATTCTGGTTCACATATGGGACTTGGGGAGTCAAATTTATTTTAAAGCATTAAAAAAATAAATATGTTTTTATTATAGATGTGACTCGGAAACCCAGTTGCTGGTATCATACCTATTTGTTTTGGGTATGTTATCCTTGCACTAAGTTCCCTGGACTGATTTATAAAATATTTGGATTTAAGAGTCCACACATTCTACTTCAGGCCATGAACAACAACTACAAAATATGTGTGCAGTAGGTGCTACAGAATTGCTTAGGTGGTTTAGTTCATCTACTCTACTAGATGAAAAGAAGAGCCCTAAGTAGGCCTGTTTTGCCTGGGCTGTGTAAACTGGTGTGTTAGGAAACCTTTCTCTTATGTTTGCAGGAGCAACACAATATTGGTTCCTTACCATGTATGGCCTACCAGTTTGCTCTAGGTTAGTTCTCAGCCCTGCACCACCTGGAAGGCTGCTGGTTATCAGAGCTAATGAGTCACATCTACAAATTCTCAGGGGGTTTATGCTTTAAAAAAGAAAATGTGGGGGGGAACCATAGTAAAATTAGAACTACTCAACCTACCTATATGGAAAATTTGTAATTATAATAGTGGTGCCTTTTACCCTCCTTCTGATCATTTTTCAATTATTTTGGCTCTGTTTCTTTTCGAGTAATAATCTTCAACCTAGGCTGCACACTAGAATCACCTGGGGAGCTTTAAAAACTGCCGGTACTCAGTTGTACCCTAGACTACTTCAATTGGAAACTCCAGCAGGACCCAGAAATCAGTAGTTGGTAAAACTTCCCAGGTGATTCTATTGCCACCAAATCCACCGTTTTAAAGGGATAGGTGGTAAGCTTTCCTTTCTTTTTTCTTTTTCTTTTTTTTTGAGGCAAGGTCTCACTCTGTCACAGCTCACTGCAGCCTTACCCTCCTAGCATCAAGCAATCTTTCCACTTCAGCCTTCTAAGTAGATGGGACTACAGGTGTGTACTACCACACCTGGCTAATGTTTGTACTTTTTGTTGAGACAGGGTTTCACCACATTGCCCAGGCTGGTCTAAAACTCCTGGGTTCAAGTGATCCACCTGTTTTAGCCTTCCAAAACAGTGAGATTACAGGCTTGAACCACCACTCCTGGCCAGATCATAAGCTTTTAAAAAACCAGATTAGTGGTAGCGATGGTTGCACAATATGAATGTACTTAACACTACTGAACTATATACTCAAAATGGTTAAGATGGGCTGGGTGTGGTGGCTTACGCCTGTAATCCTAGCACTTTGGGAGGCCAAGGTGGGCGGATTACCTGAGATCGGAAGTTCGAGACCAGCTGACCAACATGGAGAAACCCCATCTCTGCTAAAAATACAGAATTAGCCATTTGTGGTGCCACATGCCTGTAATCTCAGCTGCTCGTGAGGCCGAGGCAGGAAAGTCGCATGAACCCAGGAGGCAGAGGTTGTGGTGAGCCGAGATTGTACCACTGCACTCCAGCCTGGGCAACAAGAGCAAAACTATCTCAAAAAAAAAAAAAAAAAAAATTGGAAAAAAAACAATTAGGACACTCTAGATCCGTGCTGTCCAATACGTGTGGATATTAAATGCTTCAAATATGGCTAGTTCAAATAATGTAAAATTTTCAACAGGACTTTTTACATTGCTTACATGGAAATGTAAAAGTGTTTTTAATCTTTTAGGCTAAACAAAATATATTTAAAATAATTTCACCTGTTTTGTTTAGAAACAGAGTTTTGCTCTTGTTGCCCAGGCTGTAGCGCAATGGCATGATCTCGGCTCACCACAACCTCCACCCCCTGGGTTCTAGCAGTTCTCCTGCCTCAGCTTCCTGAGTAGCTGGGATTAAAGGCATGTGCCACCACATCCAGCTAATTTTACATTTTTAGTAGAGATGTGGTTTCACCATATTGGTCTGGTCAGGCTGGTCTCAAACTCCCGACCTCAGGTGATCCACCCACCTTGGCCTCCCAAAGTGCTGGGATTACAGGGGTGAGCCACCACTCCTGGCCTGTTTTTTGTTTTTTGTTTTTAATGTGGTTACCACAATATATAAAATGACATTTGTGGCTCCCGTTGTTTCTACTGGACAGCATTGCTCTAAATTTAAAACTAAACTAGCAATCAATTAGTTAAAAAGGATGGTAAGGTTAAGAAGGTAAATTTTATATTATGTGTACTTTATCACAATATAAAAATTTGGTGGCTCATGCATGTGGTCCCAGATACTCAGGAGGCTGAGTATCAAGTGGAGGATCACTTGAGCCCGGGAGTTCAAAGCTTCAGTGAGCTATGATGGTGCCATTGCACACTAGCCTGGGTGATGGAGTAAGACTCTGTCTCTAAGAAAAAAAATTAGATTTTATTAATTTTACAAAAATATTATCACTTGGAGAATGGGAAAAAATGTCAAGCAGCTTGGGACCAGAATCCTATCCTAAACATGAAAACATGTAAAACACACAGATATACTTATTTTTGAGTCCTCAATGATATATAAGCACCTGCATTATTAGGTTAAGGGGGCTCAAGAAAAGCTAAATGCTAATCCTGGTCCAAGACATCTGAGCTGATATAATTATACCCCAACACCATGGTAACACCTTGGCCACTGACACATCTTGGTAAAGTCAATTCTTCATACCTACCTTTCCTTGCAACTAAATTTGGATGATGATACAAAATATCCCTTTACGGCTTCACTTAGATTTCATGAGAATGGATGGTCTAGCAAAAGAAATATTCTAATTCCTTAAAGTGAAACCTAATAGAGGAGCGAGCACCAGGCAATTTCCCATTCCCTAGTGAGTAATGACCAGTAATGTCCAGCAGGATATTAGATCACCTGCTCTACAGGAATACAGTCTTGCTTCCCAGTGGAAAAGTACAAAAGACTTCACGCCTTTAGCTGAGGAACCTCAAGGTGGTCTTTGGGAAGTTCGGTGACTGACTCTCCCCTAACCCGGCTCTGAAGCGCCACCCATTCCTAACCCAGTCGCATCACTGCCAAGCTCACATCACATCCAGTCTCACTCTCTCACTCTTGTTACAGGGACTTCCCCTTACTCAGATCTAGAAATGGTTTTCATGCATGAAACACAGCCATGGCCCTAAGGCTTTAGGCAACAATCTGATAGGACAGCTTAATTGCTACTAGCAACTAATAACAGCCTCTCTACCCATAGTGTTATTTTTATAATTGTCATCATTATTAATAATAGTGGGGATGAGCATAACCAAGAGACCTTACCTAGACAATCGTTTCAACAAAACATGAATCACAGAAGACACCTGCACTTTAGCTACTCAGAGCTAGTTGCTCTGTTTTCATTTCAAGGTTGACTATTCTGGAGATTTCTTTATGCCTTAGTGCAGAGATTGCCATCATCGGAACCTGGCCAGGTTTGACATGCACTTTAATTTGACCTCTTGTTGTTTCTTAGAACAAAGGCAGAGTTAGATCAAGAAGCCTTGATCAGTGGCAATCTGGCTACAGAAGCAAATTTAATCATCCTGGATATGCAGGAAAACATTATCCAGGTGAGGAAAACAAACACCCAATCTGATCTATCTCCCATGAATATGTTTATTAGAATTGAATAAGGACTTCTTTATTCAAAATTGTGAAAGACATCAGTGTGATCCCATAGTATCTTCTTTTTAAAATGAAGTTGAGAAGTTTACTCTTTGCAATAGTTTCTACCTTATAAATTCCAGAGATACCAAACATTCTTCTGGCTTCTTTGACTTAGGGCTTACTTGGAGAGAGGGTTATGTGTTTGGCAGGCTGACCTTCTTGGTTAAATTTGTGTGAGTATGTACCAAGTTTATAATATGGATGTTGAGTTTATCGTTTAGTATCTAGAACAGCAGTGTTAACTAGGATCTTTTCTGATGGGTCAACTCCAGTTGAATGACGGTCACAGTCTGATATGGGAGCTATGATTATGATGAGGCTAAGTTAAAAGAGTGTGAAATGTGACAAACGATGTCTTCTTTGGACTTAAATTGGTTAAGGAAAGTCATTTGTACCATGAATTTGCCATTCCTGCTGTAGAAAAATATAGCTTTGTGAACTTCGTACCAAACTCATTTTTTCGTCTATGTAATATTTCCACAAATTCCCAAGATGTCTAGGTAATGAGTTTTTAATTTCCCTGAAAAATGAGTTTTTACATGTTTCCGTTGAGAAGTTATTCATTCATTAGAGTAGGTCCAGTATTGCTTTTAGGGCCAGAAGAAATATTGTTGAAACACAGTGGAATCTTAATTCTCTAACTTTTAAATTGTCTAAAATCAAAGTAATTGTCATACAAAAATAAGCACAAAGCATGTGATATTTTTGATGGCTTTGAAATCTTTGATAATGCTTGGTATCACATTCACCGTATCTTTATATGGCACGACATTGATTGGGTGCCAAATATCTACACCCATCCTCAAATATATTTGCAGTTTTCAAAAAAAGCTGAAACTTTTGTTACTATCCTTGGTGTTGTTAGTCTTGATGTAGCTGATAAATAAGCTTCTATTTAGAAGCATTGCCGCCACCAAGCAGGCCCGGTTGTACTGGGAAGCCTGCAATTGTATTTTGAATCCCATAGGGAAAGCTATGTCTCATAGACAAAGAAAGAACTTTCCAAAAGATGTGACCCAGGATGAGGGAGATGGGCCTTCTACCTTCATTTAGGAACCCAGAATAAATCCCAAACTAATTGGAAGCATTGAAATAAAGCCATTTGGCAATAGGTCTTCAGTTCCCATGGTTAATGGATGATGCCCGTGGTGGCTCACCAAACTCTTAAGACTCACCCGTGGAGATGGAACATCAGCACTACTGAGCTAATTGTCAGGAACATTGGCACAGTGCAGGGATTCAATGATGCTGTTCTTCCATTCCCCCAGGCAAGCTCGGCTCTGGACTGTAAAGACAGCCTGCTGGGAGGTGTTTTGAGGGTGCTGGTACGTTCTCTGAACTACGATCAGAGTACCACCTACCTGACTCACTGCTATGCAACACTCCGCGCCCTCATTGCCAAGGTAAACATGGGATGCTTGTTTTCTTCCTCTTAATTAAGAGTAAAATTCTCATCTAGCTTCACACTTCTCTCTTCAGGTGAATCCAGCCTCACAGAGCATAGTAAGTGGCCTCACAGTAAAGGTCTTAAGTCTTTCTAGGAAGAAAGTAGATGTGCTGATTCTGTGGGAAGCCACCATGCAGAGGAAAAGCAGGGGCTCCCATACTTGAAACGTGGACCTAACTCTAGAAGTTTGAAATGGCCACTCACTGAAGGTCTATGACATGAGAGAAGAGATCGACTGAGTGACTAAGCAATTTCACTCTTTCTCTGTAATACCTCCTCTGAGTGAGATTAAATCCTCTGTGTGACTCCCATTAGTCTTACAAAATGTCATGCCATAAAATGCTGGGAAGGTTAGAAATGAATTTGTCATAGCCTGAGGAATGAGGATTATCCTGGGGTAACATGCAAATTATTTTTCTTTTTATTTTTTATTTATGTCTTTATTTTTCTTGTTTGAAACTGAGTCTCGCTCTGTCACCCAGGATGGAGTACAGTGATGCCATCTCAGTTGACAGTAGCCTCTGCCTCCCGGGTTCAAGCAATTCTCGTGCCTCAGCCTCCTGAGTAGCTGGGATTACATTTGTGTGCCACCATGGCCAGCTAAGTTTTGTATTTTTAGTAGAGACAGGGTTTCACTCTGTTGGTCAGGCTAGTCTCGAACACCTGACCTCAAGTGATCTGCCACCTCAGCCTCCCAAAGTGCTAGAATTACAGGCATGAGCCACCGTGCCCAGCCTGTTTTTCCCATTATTGAAGATCTTAGTTGGTGCCTTCTACATGGGATCTTTTAAATTTAGAAAGTAAAATCCTGCTGCTCATCCTTAGCAGGACCATTTTCTCTTTTTAAGTCACTAGTAATATCTTGGGAACCCAGGAAACTCAGGTTTAATTCCTTTATCGTTGTGATTACACCAGTGAATGCGACCTGGCTCACAGTGCAGTTAACACCACAGCCCTGACCTTAGCTGGGCAGTTCATAATTAAATCCCAAGTATCCTCCATTGCTTAAATCTGTCTTCTAACTCTCATAGCTCATTATCTTTTTGGAGTAATGCATTAATTCTTCTAGGCTTTTGCTTGTCCAGATGGACATTTGCATATTTCAACGGTTCAGAAATTATATCAAAGTGCCAAGTGATACCTAATGGCCCCTTGTGTCTCTCCTAGTTTGGAGACTTACTCTTTGAAGAGGAGGTGGAACAGTGTGCCAACCTGTGTCACCAAGTCCTGCACCACTGCAGCAGCAGCATGGATGTCACCCGGACCCAAGCCTGCGCCACGCTTTACCTCCTCATGAGGTTCAGTTTTGGAGCCACCAGTGTAAGAGTTCGAACAAGCTGAGTGACCTGGAATCGGGAGAGAAAGTTAATGCATAGCATCAGCTGAGAAAAAAAAAAAAACATAAGGAAATTTTGCAGTATTGCACAGTAATCTGTCCTGTGAGAGTGAAACAATGGAGTATAGCAATAGGTAGATAGCAGCTTCCATTTTAATTTGCATCTAAAAGTGAATTCATCAGATAAATGCAGTGGTCCCTTATCAGTATGTTTCTAAAATAGACAGCCAGAGGCCAGGCGCGGTGGCTCATACCTGTAATCCCAGCACTTTGAGAGGCCGAGGTGGGTGGATCACTTGAGGTCAGGAGTTCAAGACTAGCTATGGTCAACATGGTGAAACCCCCGTCTCTGCTAAAAATACAAAAATAGCCAGGTGTGTTGGCGCATGCCTGTAATCCCTGCTACCTGGGAGGCTGAAGCAGGAGAATTGCCTGAAGCTGGGAGGCAGATGTTGCAGTGAGCCAAGATTGTGTTATTGCACTCCAGCCTGGGCAACAGAGTAAGACTCCATCTCAAAATAATAATAAAATAACCAAGTGCAGTGGCTCATGTCTGTAATCCCAGCACTTTTGGAGACCAAGTCAGGCAGACCACATGAAGCCAGGAATTCAAGACCAGCCTGGCCAATATGGTGAAACTCCCATCCCTACAATACAAAAAATTAGCCAGGCATGGTGGCACACACCTGTAATCTTAGCTACTCAGGAGGCTGAGGCCCCAGAAGCACTTGAACCCCAGAGGCAGAGGTTGCAGTAAGCCACAATTGTGCTACTGTATTCCAGCCTGAGACCCTGTCTCAAAAAAAAAAAAAAAAAAGAAGAAATGGAAGAATATTTTAGATTAAAAGTTATCATCTGTAGGGAAAAAAATACAATAGACAGGTTAGAATTCAGAAGAGTGTTTCCTGTTTCTAAATTCTGACTAGCTAGTGCCAGAATGACCTATGGAAGAGAGTTTTAAATGATCAGTGTCATCTAACCTGAGTTTTATTTTAATATTTTATTTATTTATTTATTTATTTATTGAGACAGGGTCTTGCTCTGTCACCCAGGTTGGAGTGTGGTGGCACAATCATAGCTCACTGCAGCCTTCAACTCCTGGGCTCAAGTGATCCTCCAACATGAGCCTCCTGTGTAATAACTGGGATTAAAGGCACAAGCCACCTTACCCAGCTAACTTTTTTTGCATTTTTGTTGAGACAGGGTCTTGCTGTGTGCCCAGGCTGGTCTCAGACACCTGAGCTTAAGTGATCTTCCCTCCTCAGCCCCCAGAAGTACTGAGATTATAGGCATGAGCCATCAAGTTTAGCCAAGACTTGAGTTTTATTCAAAGCTACGAAGACTTTAGAGATCAGCTTTATTATAGAACAGTCAAGTTTGCTTTAGATTTTGATATGTTCTTTGGCATTTCCATTTGTGGCTATGTTAATGGGTATGCTCAAGTGATATTAAAAAATAAATTGGCCCATGGAAGAAAGTCAACCTCCTCTGAATACATTAAGGATGATTATTTAAAAGCCTTTAGGACATTCCTCAGGGCCCCTTGAGATAGCCATATTTCTTCATAGACCCGTAAAGGAAGAAGAATCAAAAAGCTAACCCAGAGTTCAAAATCTCAGAAATGCTGGCTGCAGAAGTCCCCTTATTTATTTATTTAGAGACAGGGTCTCGCTCTGTCACCATGGCTAGAATGCAATGGCGTGATCTCACCCCACCGCAACCTCTGCCAACTGGTTCAAGTGATTCTTCTGCCTCAGCCTCCTGAGTAGCTGGAATTACAGGTTTACACCACCACATCCGTTAATTTTTGTATTTTTATTAGAGACGGGGTTTTGCCATGTTGGCCAGGCTGGTCTCGAACTCCTGACCTCAAGTGATCCACCCTCCTTGGCCTCCCAAAGTGCTGGGAGGCCAAGCTGAAAGTCCCTTTCTTTAAATAAAGTTTAAATAAAGTCCCAAGAAGAGACTTGGCACAAAAGGATATCCGTATCCTTAGACCTAACTTTCTAAGACTCTTCCAGCTTGCAGCACCAAGGCAGCACAGTCCTCAATGAAAATTTAAAGGGAGCCTGACAGACTTATGTGAGAGCACTGTCCATTTAAACTATTTAAACAACAATATAAATCTTGTGTAAAGTGTAGTTCCCGTTTCATTGAGAGAAGGGGAAATTATTAAGACAGGGGTAAAGGAAACATTGACGAGTTATTTGTGTCTGGTCATGCTGCCTTCAGTTACCTACTGCTAAGTGCTTCTTATTCATTTCTTTTTTTTTTTCACTGATATAGAACTTTGCAAGAGTAAAGATGCAAGTAACCATGTCGCTGGCATTTTTGGTGGGCAGAGCACCAGACTTTAATGAAGAGCACCTGAGAAGATCCTTGAGGACAATTTTGGCCTATTTAGAAGAGGACACGGCCATGCAGATGACTCCTTTTCCCACCCAGGTACACTGAAGCACATACATGTCTCATACATGAGTTTGGGATCTGCCAACTATTATGTATGTATGTATGTATGTATAGATGCAATTTATGTAGAAACATACTCACATAACATTTGCAAGCATTTATTGTCCAATATGCATGTGCTCTCCGTGCTCTGAGAGGTTAAAAAGAAATACGTCCACTGCTGTCCCCAAATTCAAGATGCTAGCAGTCTATTTGGAGGGCTCAGTCTCAAAACAATTAGGAGTCAGCACAAGACAAGTGATACATAAGTGAAAACTGTGTGGTAAGGAACTAAATGCTATGTAATGTTAGAGGAAGAGAGGATATGATTAATAAACAATCTGATGGCCAGGAACGCCTGTAGGGAGGGACAAGATTAAAAGGCTAACATAGGGTTCAGCTAGGCAGGGGGCAAGTGAGGGGGAAATTGTAAGTAGCTGAGAGAATGAACTATTTCTGTCTGAAGGGACGGTAAAGGGACCAGCTTGTCTAGTAAGGGGTAAGGAAGGGCCAAGTTCGAGAGAGCTTGTAAGCAAGGTTGTCCTAAGGAAACTTGTAAGGACAATAATCTCTTCCATGTCCTTTACAATGACCATGGAACTCTAGCCTGTCCCATTTGTCTTTTAACTCCTGCTCTATAGTAGGGCCTTAATTAAGTGAGAATGAATGAATGAATGTTTCCTTTTTTTCCCTTAGTCTGAGAACCCTATTTCTAAAGTCTCTCTTGCCCTCTCAAGCAATGTTGCATCCTCATTCTCAGAACCCTTTTCCTCTCCTCTACCTCAGATCCTTCCTCTCTCATTTCATCTTGACCATACTCCTTTAATTGCATCATTTATGGAGAGATATTCACCAACAAGACCAATCAAAATATGAACAGTTTAATAATGATCTTCAGTGCCTTCACCCAATGAAATGACGCTAGTGGTAGAAATTTTAGGAGCTCTGGCAAGCTGGCAGAGGGGAGAGGGGATAAGACAACATTCTGTGGCTGAGTCATCTGCCAGGGGCTACAGATCAAGACATAGTCTGTCATCCTTTTTGTACTGCAGGCTCCCCTGTCCCTCCACTGTCGGCTTTTGTAATTAAGAACAAATGATTACAAGAGGTTCTAAAATCTCTGAAGCCCTGGGAAGATCCAAGAGGCTTCTGAGAATGTTTTCTTTTTTAGGAACTCAAGCTGAGGTCCTAAGCTGCTTCCTACTTGGTATGAAAAGCCCTGATATTCCAGAGTACAGTTTAGAACTTTTCAGTTTACAAATACCTGAAACTGGTTGAAACTAATTTAAACAAAAAACATTGGAGAAAGACATAGCATGAGGATTCAGGCAGATTTATGGATCTCCAGGGCCAACACATATCCAGACCTTAGAAGCACCTGGGCTGGGGAAGATGAAAACCACAGAGTCAGGTCTAGATGACTCTGCCACCCCTAGTCTCTGCTGCCCTCTGCTCCAAGCCTTCCCATGGCTTCCCCTTGCATTTTCAATGTAATCCTAACTCTTCACCTGGGACTACAAAGCCAAGATTATTTCAAGGCTTACACTTTTTGCAGGTGGAGGAACTTCTCTGTAATCTGAATAGCATCTTATATGACACGGTGAAAATGAGGGAATTTCAGGAAGATCCTGAGATGCTTATGGATCTCATGTACAGGTAAGCTTTCCTGACACCCAAGGGGCATCACTTTGGGGTTGAAGATTTGTCACTGTGGAGTTCTTACCGATGTAATGATCACAGGTAACATGGATATAGTGGTTTGCACGACATTCGAACAATATGTAGAAATTAAACATTCAGAGTAGGTTCATTCATATGTGAATTTTCAGAGGGATTCCCTAATTTAAAGTGACACATTATTTAATAACACTATCTTCTACTTACCACGGAATCAGAGAAAAGAATAATCAACTGTTATAGGAATTATTTTCTATATGGTTTTCTTCCAATTATATTCAGACATACACATATAGTTTTACTTTAGAAATCATTTTTTATACTGTAGTTTAAAACTTGGTCTTCCAGTCCGTGTTCGGGAGAAATTACTTACAGAGGTAAAATTGTTCTGATGCACCATTATACAAGGGCAGTACTTTTGTCTTCTGTTTTATTTTGAGAGAAACGAAAGAAAAGGCAGAGAATTGCCTGAGAGCTATTAAAATAAACATCATGTTATCAGGTATTTTTTTTCCCGTAAGGCTTTTACTAAGTACTATTTCTTGGAGGTCAGCACACCTTAAACATGGAATAAAAATCAAGGGACTAGTATATGTTTCTTTCTCTCTCATTTTCTGGAAATGTAGGGCGAAATCTCAGGTGGAAGCGTGCAGGGAACTCTTGGGGAGAAAAAAAGAAAAGGTCACACACAGTAGAACAGTGTCATTAACCCATTGTCCTTGAAACTACTTTTCAATCCGTCTTCAGAATTGCCAAGAGTTACCAGGCGTCTCCTGATCTGCGGCTGACCTGGCTCCAGAACATGGCAGAGAAACACACCAAGAGGAAGTGCTACACGGAGGCCGCCATGTGCCTGGTGCACGCCGCTGCCTTAGTGGCTGAGTATCTGAGCATGCTGGAGGACCACAGCTACCTGCCCGTGGGCAGTGTCAGCTTCCAGGTGGGGTGTGTGCAGCTTTTCCCTTAGAGCAGTGGTTCTCACCTGGGCAATTTTGTCCCCCAGCCCCAGGACATTTGGCAATGTCAAGATACATTTTTGGTTATCACAATGGGGGTGGGTGGGTAGGTGCTTCTGGCATCTGACTGGTAGAAGTGAGGGATGTTGGTAAACGTTCGCTGTAAGAGAGCTCCCTCGACAAAGAATTATCTGGACCCAAATGTCTGTAGTGCTAAGGTTGAAAAATCCCAAGTTCATACATTATATTTGCCTCTTCTAATTGCTTTTCCATCATTGTTGGTTTTTGTCTTTTTCATTGTTGTTTACAATAATGGCACCTAGAGTCAATAGCACTTTAGGAGACATTTGCAGACACTTTCACATGCATGGCTTCATTTGAACTTCCCCAAAAAGCTGTGAAGCAGGTAGATAGGGAAGGCATTATACTGCCACTTTACAGATGGGAGAACAATTTTTCTAAGGTCATTTAAACTCTTTTTCAGTGACATGTAGTTGACATAGTATACTGACATCTGTGAAAGTTTGGAAAACATTGGACAAATTGTTTCCCTCCTGGCCCATTCATTTGATTCCGCTCTCTGACTTTGTATGGGCCCACTCTCCAATCCAAAATCAAACTCACCTGAGAAGGGAAACAAAAGGCTGAATCAGTCCCTTCTTAGGATAAGCTGAAAATTACCTCCACTTGGCAAAGAGAAATTGTCTGCCAGACCTAAAAGCTGGCTCAGATGAGGATGCTCAGTGGCCATTTACAGTGTTCTTATTGAATAGTTTAATACAGGCTTTAGAGAGAGAGGAAAAAACATAATGTTGGGTACTTCTTTTGCAAGAGACATAATTTTTGGAGATGCCCATCCCTGAAACCATGAACAATATAGCTACAGTAATAGAGTGTTTTTCAAGCCAGACTCACGAAGTCATTTACAAGGGTTTGTATTATTCTTGTTTGTGTTTACATGACTGACTTTATGAAAAGCTTTGTTCTCATTATTGCTCTTCAACACAATTTTGTGATGTTGTATGAACCAGAAAGAAAGAACAATTCAAAGTAGCTTTCCCAGGCTTAGAGAATAAGTCACCGAAACAAGGCTGGTGGAGCCAGGAGCTTCTGGTTTCCCAGAACACTGCAAAGCTGGGTTTTGCCTCCTATGAATAGCTCCTCCTTTCTTATGGTCCTCAAGAACAAAAATAGTTATTCTGTGATTTCATGCTTGGAAAATGAATTTTCTTCTTAATTCAGAAATGTTTGTTATAAAATCTCATCCAAAACCATAAAACTAATACCTGATTTTAAATCACTTAAAAGTATACAAGAAAGTTATATAAGTTATTTTAGATATATCTGCTTTTCTCAAATTTATTTTGGCTGTTACATATTATCAAGAATAAATATTATAGTACTACTCCTTCAATTCGGTTTAGCACTTAATATTGTTTCATTTACTATTTTATAATTCTTTTATGCCTTTTTCCTGTGACTACATTTTTTTAAAATTTTTATTTATTTATTTATTTTTATTTTTATTTATTTTTTTGGGGGGGACGGAGTTTCGCTCTTGTTACCCAGGCTGGAGTGCAATGGCGCGATCTCGGCTCACCACAACCTCCGCCTCCTGGGTTCAGGCAATTCTCCTGCCTCAACCTCCTGAGTAGCTGGGATTACAGGCATGCACCACCATGCCCAGCTAATGTTTTTTGTATTTTTAGTAGAGATGGGGTTTCACCGTGTTGACCAGGATGGTCTCGATCTCTTGACCTAGTGATCCACCCGCCTCGGCCTCCCAAAGTGCTGGGATTACAGACTTGAGCCACCGTGCCCGGCTGACAACATTTTATTTAACATTTATTACTTAAATATCAACTACATTTCATTATTGACTTTTATATTTAGTAAGCCTTACTGTCCTAATTTTACCTAGAATTCAACTGATTTGCTAAGAATGACATGCCAAAGTGAGACAGAATCATTATTATACAATCAACAGAAATATTACATTATCCCAACATGGGGATACAGCTCTATCTGTTCACATATCTTTACTCATTGATTCCTTCTTTTAGAGAATATTTATTGGATCCTTATCCTGTCCTCATGAATGTTACATTCTAACCAGAGAGATACCATATAACTAATTATCCCATTCTTTATTTAGTTATAATAATGAGAAATACTGTTATAAAGAGGCACAAGATGTTGTGAGCATTTATGGTCCAGGCCCTGAGGGTCAGGGAAGGATGAAGAAGGAGAAAAGGAAGGCAGAAGAAACTGCAGTGTGAAACCTTCATGATGTACAGAACACATTGAGTTAGGTGTTCTCAGCTACAGAAGAGAAGCCAAATTACATTAATGTGTATGAGTGAATTCCTTTTCTCTCAAATGGGACATACCAAATCAATTTGGAAATGTAGCTGACAAGTGAAAGAACACCCAACCCAGACTGACAGAAGGTAAAAATGGAATTTGTCAGCCTGTATAAGCGATGTGAGCCTGGAGTAGCACCTGCCATCCTGGACCTAGGGGCACAAACAATGTCAGCAGAGCTCAGTGTCATCACCACTTTTCATCTCTGCCATCTTTTGTGTCAGCTTCATTCTTCACAGCCTTCCCACACCACAGTTTGGGTTTACATCTCTAGGTTCAAGTCTAGGAGAGAAGAGAGATGCCTCCTTTCTAGCAGTTGCAGAGAAAGCCTTAGTGCATCGTATTGATCCCGATTGGGTCATGTGCTCATCCCTGAACCAGCCATAATGGCCAGAGAAATGGAGTGCTCTGATTGGCTGAGCCAGAGCACAGATCCACACCTGGAATTATGGGTGATTTCTTCCCTGAAATCAGGATGCTTTACTTTATAGAAGAATAATTCTAGACAGCATTAACAACAGCTATCCAGTGTTGATTTTGCAAATGCTTTTTTGCTTTGATTTTCAACCTTGTTCTGCTCCAATGAAATTGAGCTTTTGGAAAAGATTTACAAACTAGAGATAAATAAATCTGTGCAAAGAAAACTAACTTTGAGGTCACTGAATTCCAAGAAACTGAGATCACTGAAATTCTGTGTCCCAGAGTACACAGAATTTCACAGCTGTAGATATGGACACATTCTTAGATACTGCTGTTACTTGTACCTCCCTGATTCTGAAGCCAAGAAAGTCTGTAGAATCCTTTTCCTCTGACTACAGCTAACGAAGCTACATAGCTTCAAATCTGTTCCTCTCATGTGGAAAATTGCATGCAATTCTAATAGCATTCATATCCTGGGTTTTAAATGCTTTCAACTGAATTTCCTGGACCTTCTGTTATCGCCACTTCACAGAAACATCATAATACATAGGCCAGGCTTGGAAGAAAGGCTGGCCACAAAAGGCTTAGAGTGCCTCCTCCTATATTCCTAAAACTACATTACAGTATTGTGTGTGAAGGGATAGGGCTATCTACGACAACTGTGTCCTCATTGATTGCTAAGGTTGATTCACTTGATCTTGTTAAACAGGCCAGAAGGCAGACAGCTTTTAGTTTACAAGCCAACTCTGATCAGTTAGTAGTGGCTGACTGGAGCACTATGCTGAAGAATTTTGAGACTATTTCCAAGCTCTGGAGTAAGAGTGCTACAGTTGATTAGTTATGCCTGCCATGATTACAGCAATAGGAAGGAGTAGCATGTGTGCCACCTGTTTATAATCCCTAGGCTGGGAAGGTTTCCCATTTCTTTAATTTTCCATATGCATTTCTTCCATAGCTGTGAGCTAAAAAGAAAATGACTCTTGACCTGTTACATATTCACTGCCAGACCCAGTGCTAGGGTGAGGAGGCACTCTCTGTCAGGGTCAAGCAGGTACAAGATCAGTACCTCCATGGCTCTAAAAGTGAGTACCTCTCTAAATTTTATATCTTGGGTTTCTCATTTGGTTTACCCTAACCATGGTCTCTGCATGCTTGGCTAGAGGCTCTAAACTCAATGGTTTATGTAAAGGAAAAAATGCATGTGAACAAAATCTTCAGGGAAAAATAACACAGTAACTGCTGCAATGCCATGAAAACTTCCCTAATGAAGACAGCCTCATTTGCTGTTGTCGTGTATCATGGCTGTTTATCTGAAAGTCAACTACACATGGCAAAGTTCTTCAGAAAAACAGCACTGGAAGCCAGAGTTCACTCAGTTGGTGAAGCAGGGAGTCTAGTTAATGTTAATTGGCCTTTGCCTTTTGAAAACCAAGACACCAGCCATATGTCCCTTAGGGTTGTTTCACTAAAGTAACTCAGCTGTTGTAACATTGAGGTGAGTATCCTCTATACAAAATCTCCTAATGATTAAAAAGAAAAATGTGAGGTTTGAAGACCAGTCACTCAGTGCGCCCCTTCTAAATGAATGGCAGACAGATACCCCCCGGGGTAGAACCGCAGACCTAGTTTAATCACAGCCTTGGTAAAGATCTAAATACCAGCTTCCTCATTCCCCCAGTCTGGGTTCCTATGGTCTCTTACCAGTCTGGTCACCCTGTTCTCCAGGCTTATACTGTGGTCTCTTTCAGAATATTTCTTCCAATGTGCTGGAGGAGTCTGTGGTCTCTGACGACACACTGTCGCCTGATGAGGATGGAGTGTGTGTAGGCCAATATTTCACCGAGAGCGGCCTGGTGGGCCTCCTGGAGCAGGCTTCAGAGCTCTTCAGCACGGTCAGTGCCCAGAGGGCATCCTGGGGCCTGGCCTCCCTCACTCCAGCTGGACTTGGGGTCCTGGAAACACCTGGTCTTAATGGAGCAGTCAGCCCCACTTCCCGAGGACACATGCCAGGGTGTGCAGGGCAGGGGATGGGCCTGGGGAGGACTTGGATGTATGCAAATTGCACAAGCTCCCTAAGGGAGCTGAGACATCCTTTCATCACAGTGCTGATCTGGCCTTCACTGCATGCTCATTGGCTGGGCAGCAGTTTCACAGTGTTATTTCCATTTAATAGGGGTGGAACTAAGCCACAGAGAGATGAAATGGCTTGCCCAGGGTTACACAATAAATGATGAGGCATGTTCTCATTCCTTCATTTTTCCTCTCAGAGAGAAAAAAACTGGGGAGCAACCACTGGGAGAAGAGAGAAGGAATAAGCAGATAGTGTCTTCCCTCTTAGCCACTGTGCAGTCTGCGGGATCATCACAGACCAGGACCAGCTTAGAGAAATGTGGGCACAGAAACCACTGAGACTCCTCTAGTTAACTTAATCTGGACCTAAACGCTCTTAGTATATATACTAGGAAAAATGTAGAGAGAGATGAAGTCATGGAGATTCAGGCAAAGAGGAAACTCTGTCTTCTTTTCTTTTTTCTTTTTCTTTTTTTTCTTTTGAGACAGAGTCTTGCTCTGTCATCTAGGCTGGAGTGCTGTGGTACAATCCTGGCCTCTGCCTCCAGGGTTCAACAAACCCTCCTGCCTCAGCCTCCCAAGTAGCTGGGATTACAGGCATGCACCACCATACTTGGCTAATTTTTTGTATTTTTAGTGGAGATAGGGTTTTACCCTGTTGGCCAGGGTGGTCTCAAACTCCTGGCTTCAAGTGATCTGACCACCTTGGCCTCCCAAAGTGCTGGAACTACAGGTGTGAGTACCATGCCTGACCTGTTTTCATTTTATTAATCTCCCTCCTCTTTTAAATTTTAAGCCAAGAAAGTATTCAATACTTCACTATATTTAGCTGATCCAATTTTGTTTTCATCTGTACTATACTAATCCTTATTTTCTACTTTTTACTTCCAAGTTTCCTCTCTACAATTTTATGTATTTTAATTATTGTTTTAACTATCTTCTCTCTATTCCTGCTTTCCTTTTCAGGATTCAGAAAATGTCTAATATACTCTCATATCTCCTCAAACTCCAGAAAATGAATTAGAATCCTACTAACTCATACATTTAACATCTGGCTAGAGGAGGACCTCTGATGAAATCTAAATATACTAAAACAGCCTTTCTGAATTGCTATTAGTCCCTGCTTCCAAACTTCTCTCCTGTTTTTTTTTGTTTGTTTGTTTTTAAGGCAAGGTCTTGCCCTGTCACCCAGGCTGGAGTGCAGTGGTGCCATTTTGGCTCACTGCAGCCTTGACCTCCTGGGCTCAAGCCATCCTCCCACCTCAGCCTCCTAAGTAACTGGGGCTACAGGCGCATGCTACCCTGCCTGGCTAATTTTCATAATTTTATGTAGATGGGGTCTCCCTATGTTGTCTAGGATCGTCTAAACTTCTGGGTTCAAGTGATCCTCCTGCCTCGGCCTCCCAAAGTGTTGGAATTACAGGCATGAGCCACTACACCTAGCCAGTGTGTTTTGTTTTTTTTCCCCCTGAAAGCTCTTCTCCCTACTTATCACCATACAGGACTACTTACAGAGCTGTCTAGTTCAGTGTGAAGGCTACTACTGTCCCCAAAATGCTTAGATATCCCTCTTGCCCTGTAAAATACTGTGATACAATAATAGGTTCACTCTCCAGCATATTGTTTAGACAATGACCTTTGGTTGCTCTTCTTAAGTTTCCAGTGGATTAAATTCTCTCTGATGCTCTTCTCCTCTTTCCAAGGGAGGCTTATATGAGACGGTTAATGAGGTCTACAAGCTGGTGATCCCCATCCTAGAAGAACATCGAGAATTCCGGAAGCTGACCTTGATTCACAGCAAGCTGCAGAGGACCTTTGACAGCATTGTCAACAAGGTAGCGGGGATAGCCTAGCTAGCAGGTCCTGTTACCTGGTGGCAGATGACCCTGTCCTATAGATGCTTAGCTGTCCTTCCTCTCTAGGGAGTAATTTACCTTTAGCACAATGCTTTTGCTGTCACCTGTCAAACAGAAAAGGGCCGGAATTCCTCCAACAGAGGACCAGAATTCCTAATGTGAAAATATACAGTTTGAGTTGCTTTATAATGAGAAAATATGAGAAACTTTCAAATTTACTTAAAGGAAGGCCCAGAAATCTTTCATGGGATTTCTTTTGTTGTTATTTCTGAAGTTTATTCCATAAACATTAAATTTTTTTAAGGAGTAATTTCTGTTTATATCAGCCACAGGAGTAAAATGCTTTGTGACACCATGAAAGATCCCTGCCCTTTGCAACTCAATGGCTCCTCAGGGTTTCATAACTAAGGAGAGGCTTTTATATTTTTCCTCAGGATCACAAGAGAATGTTTGGAACCTACTTCCGAGTTGGTTTCTATGGATCCAAATTTGGGGATTTGGATGAACAGGAATTTGTTTACAAAGAGCCTGCAATTACCAAGCTTCCTGAGATCTCACACAGACTAGAGGTAAGAAAGGTGATTCTGTGTGCTTGACCTTGTACTCTTAACAAAAACAAGTTAGAGTGGGTCATTACCAGAAATAAACAAATAAGTAAAAAGTTATGGATTCATCATTGATCTCTACATAAAGTTTTACCCTTTGCATTTATAAAAGACAAAGTAGAAAGGTATTAGGTGAGATCATGAGGTAATGTAAGATTTTGATAGTTTTTCCCTAAGATTCTGTGTATGCTTTTCATAGTTTGTAATTTTACATGGTGAATATTTATTTTCAAGTCTGTGCAAAATTCAATCAAGGTCACCTGCTTTCTTATCAGCCTTTCCAAATGTTAGTAGTTTATACTAGTAGAGAGAGAGTAAAAGTTTTTCGGCATGAAGGTTATCGACTTGACTTTGAAGTCATGTGGCCAAATGACTGAATCAGCCCTAGACAACAGTGAGGCCATCCTTTAGGTATCACTGGATGCCATCTGGGGTCATCCTGATATGGAGCTACTCGGCAGTAGCCATACCATGGGCTGTGGCCAGCCCAGCTCTAACCTGCCAGTGACATTTGGTACATAATGTGACAGGAAACTGTAGCATATTGTTAGAGGCAAAGCTGAAAGCATGGAGAAAAAGAGAAACAGCCTAGAGAAAGGTCAGGACAAAGGAAACACAGGTTATAAGGATCAAACACTAAGAACTCAGTCAAAGGTGGCTCCCCCAAAAAAACCTTCTCAAGCACTTTTGGGGATTTGGATGAACAGAAGTTTGTTTACAAAGAATCTGCAATTACCAAGCAGGACTGGGGTCCCTTGAACTACTCACAGTTAACCAAAGATTCACTCCTTAGGCTTTCATTGCTTTGAATTTGTACCCTCCTATGAGTGTAAAACTTCAAACATTTGTGTTGCCTAATGGCTTCTTACACTCTGCATCCATGCCAAAAAAGACAGGAAGGTTTATACTTACTTGCCTCAAAGAAGCCATTGCCCAGAGTGGCTGGGTGAGTTGCCCCAAAGTTGTTTAGCACATGAGAAAAAGAGCTAGCCATTGACCCCAGGCCACTTGGTTCCCTATATTGTTTCCCCTACTTAGAATTAGAGATATATATTTTATCTTCTTGTGCATTGATTTGCCACAATATGGGAGGCCTTCTGTACCCAAGTTCCCAGGGTACAGAAGGTGAGAAGCAGAGTGTGGTAACCCAGGAGATGCCTCAGGAAATATAATATTGTTAGTTGAATCAGAGGCCAAGCATACATCTTATAAAGAAGCATATACCAGTTGACAGTGCTATTTTTATTTTTGTCTCAGGAAATGCTGAACTTTGCTCATTAGCTCAGGGGACTCTCAATAATCAGTGAGCATCATTCTACCTTGTACTTGTTCCAAACTTATTTCACTTCCAAGAAGACAAAAAGTGACCTTGTGTTAAAATAACCTTTATAAACTATTGGTTCTTCTTTCCTAGGCATTTTACGGTCAATGTTTTGGTGCAGAATTTGTGGAAGTAATTAAAGACTCCACTCCTGTGGACAAAACCAAGTTGGATCCTCACAAGGTATAAAAAAATTTACAAAAAATAATGGTCAGGCTGTAAATCACTTCATTTTACCCAAGGATAAATACTGACCTCATCTATCTGGACTCTCCAAGTCACTTAAATGCAGCCAAACCTTTTTGTCTAGAGTTCAACTCAGATCTTAAAGAAAAAATACTCAAATGTGGGAATCATGATAGGAGCTACCACTTATTAAGTACCAACTGTGTACCTGGAACTGCATTAGGCCCTTTACATACATCATTTTATTTCCTCCTGCATTATTTTATTTCAGCCCTTGGAAGTAGGTTTTGTTGTTCCTATTTTGGAGATGAGAAAACTGAGACATAAAAGAGTCAAGCAGCTTTCAAGGTTATGCAACTGGCAGAGCCAATACTCAGACTTGGGGTCTGTTGCTTCCAAACCCCTACTCTTAAGCACTGCTCTTTACTGCCTTTTTTTTTTAAAGCCTTTAAACTCTCCATTTTAAACATGTGAAAAAGATGCAAATTTCTCACTGACAGCATTTACTGGATTCCTTCTTTAGTCTGCAAGCATTCCTTCCAGCCAAGTACAGGCTTGGGCTTGGGTTTTCTAACTTTCACCAGAGGGTATGTTCCATTTCACCCCAAACTGGGTGTACACTTCTGATGCTAACCTTGGAGGTCGCATCAGCTCCCACAGGTTAAAGGCTCAGACCTCCTCAAGACTGCCCTGACTTCTTCAGATGCCAGCTTCAAGTGGGGCCCCCAGGCCACCTGCACTTCTTATCAGCCAGCTACAAATTTGGGTGTTTCTAGAACCTGTTAGCTTGAAAATAGGAGAAAATAAAACTAATTATTATTATTATTATTATTTGGGAGTTTCTACAACACCACTTAGATTAAATAATTCACTACAGTGACTCACGGAATTCCAAAAAGTACTCTATTTACTCTCAGAGTTTTATGATAAAGGATGCACACCATTTCTGTGCCTCTGCTTATGGCTTCCAGGCTCATCAGTGTGTTCTCCAACCAGGAAGCTCCACCGAGTCTCAAGTGTCCAGAGATTTTGTTGGGGTTTCATTATGTAGGCAGATTGAACACAATCTCCAGCGCAGCTTCTCTCTCAGAGGTCATCCAGTTCCTACCCTCTAATCACAGAATTGGTCTTTTTGGTGGCCACTTGGCATCCTGAAGCTGTCCAGGGGCCCAGCATGAGTCGCCTCATTAGCATAACAAAGGCACCCATCACGGAGGAAATTCCAAGTGTTTCTGAAGTTCTGTGCTAGGAAATGGAGACAAAGACCAGACACATTCAGGCTGATACTGCCCGCTCAGCACAACTCACAGGCAAACATGTCCATGAACAAGATTTCTAAGTTACTGGAAATAATGCAAGTGCAAGGTATTAATAAGGGCCCTGGGAAAGAGGACCATTCACCATCTAGCAAACCTATAAAATGAAAAGTCCAAACTCCCAGTTCCATCTTCCAGGGTATGAGGAATATAATGGAAGAGGGGAAGAATTGACCAAATTGAAGGCTTTGTTTTTCTACATCTTTCAGAACACTTTCTCACTTCAGACACATTCCCTAGCCCAGCTTGAAAGCAGTGACTGTGGTAAGAGTTTAAGCTTCAGACACACATGCTTGGGAGATGGAGTTGGCTGTGTGCCCACAGTGATCTGTACATGGCACAAGCTGCGTAAGATGTGACCTCCCTGACCTAGGATGCCTTTTTCCCATCTTTTAAGAAATCCCCAGGGTAGGTTGTGAGAGCTTGGCATGAGAGTCTGAACCCAGAATTACAACCAGACTTCATTATACTAAATCATGATTTACAGTCTGAGGTCAGTGACCCCACATCCCTTTCAGTGGGTAGGCATCCCAGCATCTGCATGCGTGGTCACTTTTTCTATCTGAGAGGTTGTCTTCTTTAATGAGTACTTTTTTGCTCTGTGTTTGAGGGTGGGGATGATGTGGTTGTGTGCTTAAATGAGGTCTAGACAGTAAAATTCAGTTTAGTTCTGTGAGTTTTAACAAACACATGTAACCACCTTCGTAATCAAGATATAGAAGAGATCCAGTCCAAAATAATTACCATGCCCATTGGTAATCAGTGGCAGTAGTTTGTTCCTTTCCATTGCTGAGTAATATTCTGTTGTGTGACTACCCCACCTTTTGCTTGTTAATTTCCCACTGGAGGGACATCTGGGTTGTTTCAAGTCTTTGTCTGTTATGAATAAAGCTGCTGGAGACATTTGTGTACAGGTTTTTGTGTGGACATAAGCTTTTATTTCTCTCACATACACATGTAGGAGTGGGGTTGCTCAGTCCAATGATAGCGCAATTTAACTGCATGAGAGACCACCAGCTTCTTCTGTAAAGTAGCTGTGCATTTTGCATTCCCACCCTCTGTGTATGAGAGTACTAGCTGATCTCCATCCTTGCCAGCACTTGATATTGTTAGTTTTCTTTAGTGCGGCCATCACACTTCCTCGTAACCGTGAGATGGTCATGGTCATTCTGAAAAGGCAAGTTTGTCTCTTTTGAATAGCAGTTGGCAAACTCTCATACCAAGGCTTCCACTGTGGATCAGTTTGCTCTGCTAGGAAGGTACGGCCAGTGGCCCTGACTCCCCCCACGGCATATTCCCGTCTCCCTCCGTGCAGTCCCTTCTCTCCTTGGAAGTGGAGAGGAGGAACTGCTGTGGGCTGCACCGGGCGGGGGGGTGCTGGCTGTGTTCCAGCATGCCCCTCCATTGCGTCAGGGACGGTTGTTTGCAGAATCGCTCATCTTCTCCCTCGCTGCCTTTTCCCCCTCAGGCCTACATACAGATCACTTTTGTGGAGCCCTACTTTGATGAGTATGAGATGAAAGACAGGGTCACATACTTTGAGAAGAATTTCAACCTTCGGAGGTTCATGTACACCACCCCGTTCACCCTGGAGGGGCGGCCTCGGGGAGAGCTGCACGAGCAGTACAGAAGGAACACGGTCCTGACTACCATGCATGCCTTCCCCTACATCAAGACCAGGATCAGCGTCATCCAGAAGGAGGAGGTAATGTGCCCGAGGGGGTGGCCACCACTGGATGAGCCAGCCTGGGTGGCCTCCCAGGAGAACACACAAACCTCATTCATGGCAGATTGGACTGAAAACAAGGGGGATGCTCTTGAAATATGACTAAATGGTCATCCTTTCGCTCTCATGGTGCCAGAAAATCCCATTAGGCAGCTACGTTATGTTATAGCACTATTTTATTTTAAATATTTAATATTTTAAAGTTATATCTTTAGTATAAGTATGTTTATATATTTAATTATAATATTTAATATACATTTATTTATATACTTATACAACATATATATTCACATTTTAAATATTTTATATAATTTTCTTTTTTGAGGTGGAGTTTCACTCTTGTTTCCCAGGCTGGGGTGCAATGGCACCATCCCAGCTCACCGCAACCTCCACCTCCCAGGTTCAAGCGATTCTCCTGTCTCAGCCTCCCAAGTAGCTGGGATTCCAGGCATGCACCACCACACCTGGCTAATTTTCTATTTTTAGTAGAGATGGGATTTCTCCATGTTGGTTGGGCTGGTCTTGAACTCCTGACCTTAGGTGGTCTACCTGCCTCGGCCTCCCAAAGTGGTGGGATTATAGGTGTGAGCCACTGTGCCCAGCCAAAATGTGTTATATTTTTAAAATCCCAGAGATGATTCAAACATAGTTGTGCTGTTAATTGCCGGAGACAGGAAGTACATGTGAGCAGCCCCAGTGAGTCGGGGGTGTGCTGTGTGCTGTAGGAAAGACGCCACGTAAGGTAGACAAGTTGACGGACTTCCAGTCCCAGCTTCCTCCTGTGATTTTGAACAAGCTACATGTCTTTAGTTTCTTCATCTATACATTAGCAGGAAAGACCTCTAAGTACAGAATAAGACTATACTCATTTTATTCGTAATAGGACTGGTCAAGAAGGTCTCTCAAACCACAGAATGGTTCAAAATTCTACAAACCATAAACAACTTCTTTTTTTTTTTTTTTTTTTTTTTTTTTGTTGAGACAGTCTCTGTTGCCCAGGCTGGAGTGCAGTGGCGTGATCTCGGCTCACTGCAACCTCCGCCTCCCAGGTTCAAGCAGTTCTCTGCCTCGGCCTCCTGAGTAGCTGGGATTACAGGTACCCACCACCATGCCCAACTAATTTTTATATTTTTAGTAGAGACAAGGTTTCACCATCTTGGCCAGGCTGGTCTTGAACTCCTGATCTCGTGATCCACCCGCCTTAGCCTCCCAAAGTGCTGGGATTATAAGCATGTAAGTCACCACACCCAGCCAACAACTTGTTATTCTTTAAAACACATACATACATACTTCTTTGTCATCCTTTTTATATAGGGCCACAGACTTCTCTGTGACTATGGGTTTGCTGATCACAATTCAGTATTTTCTTTTATAAACTACACCCATAGTGCTTTGTCCATGATTTTTAGTTTTGCTTTGTATTAGCAGAGTGAGAGCTTAAAGATCCTTGTTAAACAATTTGAAAGAGAAGACTTCTGGATTTTTATGGTTTTTTTCTCCCCTAGACTTTGACAGTTGTCTTGAGCACACCTAATATGACAGGAATTTTTATAGCAACTCACTTTCATGATGTGTTGTCCAAGCATTTGGCTTGGTTTTTATAGAAACAACTCTTTTTCTTTCCACTCCCATGGTTCATCACTTTATGCATTATCTCATTAGACTGGGTCTTTAAAATAACAAGTATAACAGGCATAATCAAGTTGGTGAACAAACACAGATGAGTCGTGGTGAATATACACCTCATCAGGCAGAAGCAGAAACAGCTGAACTAACTGGAGAGTCGTCCACCAGATAGTGTTCAGCCAGGTGACCACATCAGGGTGTGGGTTTCACAGAGGGCAAAGAAAGCCTCAAGCAGTGACTCAGTCAAGAGGGGGTGGGTTTAGAAGGCATCTGCTGTACTTACTGTACTTATTGCTTTGGACTTTTGAACACTGAGATATCCTAGGCATAACACATATAAACTCATGGTGCCCAAAAGCATTTTTTTTTTTTTTTTTTGAGAAGGAGTTTGGCTCTTGTTGCCCAGGCTGGAGTGCAATGGCATGATCTCAGTTCACTGCAACCTCCACCTCCCAGGTTCAAGCGATTCACCTACCTCAGCCTCCCAAGTAGCTGGGATGACAGGCATGCACCACCATACTCGGCAAATTTTTTGTATTTTTGGTAGAGATGGAGTTTCTCCATGTTGGTCAGGCTGGTCTCGAACTCCTGACCTCAGGTGGTCCGCCCACCTCGGCCTCCCAAAGTGCTGGGATTACAGGCATGAGCCACCGCGCCCAGCCCAAAAGCATTTTAAAACTTTTGCTTTTCTTTTTTATTTTCTTTTTTTCCTTCCTGCCTGCCTTCCTTTCCTTTCTTTCCTTCCTTTCTTTTCATTCTTCCTTTCTTTTCTCTCTTTTTCTCTTTCTGTGTCTCTGCCTCTCTCACTTTCATTTTTAAGACAGGATGTGCCCCTGTTGCCCTAGAGTGCAGTGGCATGAACATGGCACACCACAGCCTCGACCTCCTGGGCTCAAGCAGTTTTCCTGCCCCAGCCTCCTGTGTAGCTAGGACTACAGGCTTGTGCCACCATGCCCAGCTAATTAAAACAATATAGGCCTGTAATCCCAGCACTTTGGGAGGCTAGGACAGGTGGATCACAAGGTCGGGAGATCAAGATCATCCTGGCAAACATGGTGAAACCCCATCTCTACTAAAATACACACAAAAAAATTAGCCAGGCATGGTGGCCCGTGCCTGTAGTCCCAGCTATTCAGGAGTCTGAGGCAGGGGAATCGCTTGAACCTGGTGGAGGTTGCAGTGACCCAAGATTGTGCCACTGCACTCTGGCCTGACAACAGAGCGAGACTCTAAAAAAAAAAAAAAAAAAAACACCTTACTTCCAGTGCAAGTACATGCAAGTACAAGGTATTATTAAAGACCCTGGGACAGAGGACCATTCACCATCTAGCAAACCTATAAAATGAAAAGTCCAAACTCCCAGTTCCATCTTCCAGGGTATGAGGAAGATAATGGAAGAGGGGAAGAATTGGCCAAATTGAAGGCTTTGTTTTTCTACATCTTTCAGAACACTTTCTCACTTAAGACACATTCCCTAGCCCAGCTTGAAAGCAGTGACTGTGGTAAGAGTTTAAGCTTCAGACACACATGTTTGGGAGACGGAGTTGGCTGTGTGCCCACAGTGATCTGTACGTGGCACAAACTGCGTATGATGTGACCTTCCTGACCCAGGGTGCCCTTTTCCCCTCTTTTAAAATTCCCCTCTTTAAAATAATATATATTTTGTAGAGACAGGGGTCTCACTTTGTTTGCCAGGGTGGTCTCAAACTCCTGGCCTCAAACCATCCCCTACCGTGGCCTCCCAAAGTCCTGGGATTACGAGTGTGAGTTGCTGCCCCAGCCTGAACTTTTCTTGGCCATCGGTAGTTCCCCAACACCCTCAACAACGGTTCTCGGCTGTTCGCGAGGGCTATAGAACTAAGTTAAACAACTGAAATGTACTGTCTCTACAGTTCTACAGGCTAGAAGTGTGAAATCAAGGTGCCGGTAGAGTTGGTACCTTCTGAGGGCTGGGAGGAAAGGGTCCGTTCCAGACCTCTCTCCCTGGCCTGTGGACGGCCCTCTTCCCCGTGTCTCTTCACATCATCTTCCCTCTGTGTTTGTGTCCAGACTTCCTCTTCTCATAAGGACACCATAGTGGACTAGTGCTTACCTGGCTGGACTCATTGTAACTTGACTGCCTCTGTAAAGACCCTGTCTCCAAATAAGGTCACATTCTGAGGTACTGAAGGTTAGGACTTCAACGTATCAATTATGGGGGAACACAATGCAACCCATAACTTTCAGAAAAGACTCTACCCCAAACCAGCAGAACTTAGCAAACAGATTGACCCTTAAGAGAATTCCATTTACTGGAATTTACCCTCAGGGTGAGTTGGAGAAGGCACAGGTGATATCAAAAGCATGTGTTACGATGGGGGAGAAAATCTTGAGTGCTGTGCTTCTAATATAGCTTTCTGTTGAGTAACATGAGGCCAGGAGCGGTGCCTCACACCTCTAATCCTAGCACTTTGAAAGGCCAAGGCATGCGGATCACCTGAGGTCGGGAGTTCGAGACTAGCCAGACCAACATGGAGAATCCCCGTCTCTACTAAAAATAGAAAATTAGCTGGGCATGGTGGTGGCACCTGTAATCTCAGCTACTCAGGAGGCTGAGACAGGAGAATCGCTTGAACCCAGGAGGCGGAGGTTACAGTGAGCCAAGATCACGCCATTGCACTCCAGCCTAACAACAAGAGTGAAACTCCATCTCAAAATTAAATAAATAAATAAATAAATAAAATAAGTTGAGTAACTTGCTCAATAATAGGAAAGGCAACCTGACAGGGTAGGAAAAACATGGACTTTGAATATAGACATTCCTGTGATGGAATTAGGACCTCTCCCTTACTACCTGTGGCACTTTGTGGAACCCAACCTTATAAATCCCCCTTTGACTGTAAAACGGAGAGTATAAAGAGGTTGTTGAAGGAGTAAATGATAAATGTATGTAAAGTTCCTGGAACATAAGAATTCAAGAAATATTAGGCCCTTCCTTTTTTTAAACCTGTTAAGAGTATTTTAAATGACTGAAAATCTTTCCCTAGCTGCTTCTTCACATCCAGGTGGCCTCTCTGTCATAGCTGCAGGTTGTCCATAGCTTATGAGACCAGACAGTGACTTCCCTATGTTTACATCCCATGTTCAGTTTGTTTTGACACCGATTGAAGTTGCCATTGAAGACATGAAGAAAAAGACCCTGCAGTTAGCGGTTGCCATTAACCAGGTGCCCCCTGATCCAAAGATGCTTCAAATGGTACTGCAAGGCTCTGTAGGAGCTACTGTAAATCAGGTAAGCAAAACAGAGGGTGGCAGCGCCTCTGGTTCTTATTATTTGGGTTGTTGTTGTATGTCTACACCCTCCTTTCTTGGGGTGGATGAGGACTGTGATGCGTATATAAACACAGAGATGTTCCTACACTTAGCCTGAACTCTTGTCAGGTTTAGAAGACTTTTAGGAGGCCTTTTCCCTTTCATGTTGAAAAAGAAATCCTAGAGATGAGTGGCCCAGGTTTTTAGGAGTACCACTTTCTCAGAGGAGTCTCCACCTCGGGCAAGACCTGACAATATGATGCGAATCTGGAGTCCTGTTGAAGAATGCTTAGTCATGACCAATTCACACAGCCATTGCAGGGCTTGAGACTCACCTACAAATGCCTATAGGAGAGAGGGAAAAGGATCTAGAACATCCAATTCTTGGGTCAGTCACCAGGTGAACCCAGCATGCCAAGGACCTTGGCAACCAGGAGTGACTTGGGACCAGATTCCTTAGGCCATTCAGACAAGACTACATCTTCTCGGACTTATTAGAACCCTAACTCCCAAGTTCAGCATGGTGCTCAACCAGTCTCAGAGGGAGGTACTAGCCTAATACCTCTGTCCAGTGGGCCTCCTTAATTCAATTCTAGATCTGTTCTTGTCCACACTTCCATGCTCAGATACTCAGTGAGCATCATAAGTCTTTTCTCGTTCAGCATAATTGGATTTTTCCACAAAAATTCTGAGTGTACTTGCATCAAGGGAGCAGAAATAGAGAATAGAAACGCCTGTTAGATTTCCAAGATCAGGAAAAAAAATGAGGAAACTTTTGCCTGTGTAAGTGCCAATCCTTTGATAAAATGGACTTTACAAGTCCACAACCATGGTCTATCTGTATGCTATGGAGATCTCTGACTCAAGCCAGCAATTATGCAAAACGATGTTTGCCACTAGGGCAATGAGATAAGTCAACAAAAATGGATAGATCAAGGCAATCTCATTTTTAGAAAAGCGTCTCAAAGCATGTACCATTTGATGCAATTGCATTACATTTTTATATGAAGGAAAATCTAGTATTAGTAGTATTTGATTAATAAAATAATATTTGGGGCCATGTAGAGTGGCTTACACCTATAATCCCAGCACTTTGGGAGGCCGAGGTGGGCAGATCACTTGAAGTCAGGAGTTCGAGACTAGCCTGGTCAACATGGTGAAACCCCATCTCTACTAAAAATACAAAAATTAGCCAGGTGTAGTAGCATACGCTTGTAGTCCCAGTACTTGGGAGGCTGAGGCAGGAGAATTGCTTGAACCTGGGAGGAGGAGGTTGCAGTAAGCTGAGATCACGCCACTGTGCTCCAGCCTGGGTTACAGAGCAAGACTCTGTCTCAAAAACAGCAACAATAAAAAAAGAAGATAAATTTGCCAGGGTACAGTGGTGCATGCCTATAATCCCAGCAGTTTGGGAGGCTGAGGTGGATGGATCACTTGAGGCCAGAAGTCCAAGACAAGCCTGGGCAATGTGGCAAAATTGCATCACAAAAAAAATACAGAAATAGCCAGATATAGTAGCATGCACCTGTAGTCCCAGCTACTCAGGAGGCTGGTGTGGGAGGATCACTTGAGGCTGGGAAGTAGAGGCTGCAGTGAGCAGAGATCACACCACTGCACTCCAGCCTAGGTGACAGAGTGAGACCCTGTCTCAAAAAAAAACAAAAACAAACAAAAACAAAAAACCAACAACAACAGAGAAAATGCATTTATACTTCTGAATATTCTTCTAAAACTTCAGACTCCTCCTAAGGAATCAAAATTTCCTGAGATGTCCAAGACTTTCCTTGATTTTTTTTGTTTAATTCAAACCAACTACAAAATTAAATGTTCAAACTAAGAAGTCACTCCAATATTTTCTCCCAAGCAATTTACTTTCCTTCCAATATCAATATTGGCTTTTTTTTTTTTTTTTCCATCAGGGACCACTGGAAGTAGCCCAAGTGTTCTTGGCTGAAATTCCTGCTGATCCAAAACTCTATCGACATCACAACAAGTTGAGGTTATGCTTTAAGGAATTCATCCTGCGGTAAGAAGGAAAATGGCTGGGAGTTTCAGTAGAGGAGTGGTTCTCAAACTGCAGTCTTAGACCAGCAGCTTCAGCATCACCTAAGAACTCGCTAGAAAGATAAAGTTTCAGGCACCGTGCACACTTCTGAATTGGAGTCTCTGGAGGTGTAGCTCAGCAGTCTGCATTTTAACAAGCCCTCCAGGTGATTCTGATGCACACTGAAGTTTAAGAACCACTGCAGTAGGGCATCACCACTTGAAATACTCATGAGTAACACGTGAACTGTGAAATGCTTTCGTGTCTAGCATCCCATGTGCCTCACAATCATGTTGTAAGAAGTATCATCATCTTCCTCATTGTACAAAAGAGGAATCAGAGGTTCCAAGACAGTACATAATTTTTTTTAAGGTCACACAGCCAGTTGGCAGCAGAGCTGAGATCAAACCAAGTCTTCTCAATACAAATAGCCCACACGCCCATCAATGTGCTGATATTCCACCGATGCACTAGAGTCCCAGAAGTGCTTTGCATTGGCTGTCATTGTAATGTCTCAAATCTTATAATATTTTTAGAAACTTAAAAATGGACACTGCCTCAAAGTGAGAGAGACAGGTTCTAAAACTGGGCTTTTCAAAGGTATTATCCTGATGACAGTTCTCCATGTCAGACAAGTCTCATCTCTGCTCCTAAATTCTGCAATGGAGCTGGCTTCAAGAGCAGTCGGTTAGGAACTGGGTCTTTGGTCAAAGTCTTGTAACTTATTGCAATACAGACACATCTATTGGGTTTCCTATGGCCCTAAAAAAAATGAGTATGAAGGATATGAGGCATTTTACCTATAAGAGAAAAGGACTTCAGAAAAATGTATACCAATGTTTCTTTTTATTCAAACCTTAAAGAATAATATTAAGTATAGGAATTTCTTCACTTGGCAGATGGGGATAAAGGAGACTAAAAGTTAAAGTTTGCAAAATTCAGTGAAAACATCAAAATGCTAGCATTTGTGAGGTTAGAGAGATCTCCTTCACAGGCTTCTGTGAGAGGTCCACAACTTCGCTACATACAGAGGAGACACACTGTGCCCTGCAGTGAATCCCAGCCGCTTGGTAATAGGATGTGTGTGTGGCTTTGTGTGTATGTATTTGCACATGTTTATGAACATACTCACAGATTATCTCGATGAATGTTTTGATATTTGAATTGTTTCCTGTATCTGACAACAATTCTGACATGACAAAAAAAAAAGTAGATTTTTTTCAGTACATGGTACGTATCTTTTAAAAGGCTAGAAAAATATTTGGAGAATTATTTTATTTTATTTTATTTTGAGACAGGATCCCACTCTGTCGCCTAGGCTGGAGTGCAGTGGTGTGATCTCAGCTCACTGCAATCCCTACCTCCCAGGCTCAACCGATTCTCCTGCCTGAGCCTCCTGAGTAGCTGGAACTACAGATGTATACCACCATAACCGGTAATTTCTGTATTTTTAGTAGAGATTGGGTTTCACCATGTTGGCCAGGTTGGTCTTGAACTCCTGACCTCAAATGATCCACCTACCTTGGTCTCCCAAAGTGCTGGGATTATAGGCATAAGCCGCTGCCCCCAGCCCCATTTTTTATTTTTCGTAGAGAGAAGGTCTCACTATGCCGCCTAGGCTCATCTTGAACTCCTGGGCTCAGAGATTGGATTTTTTAAAATCTATTTTTATTTAAAATTAATCATGGTTAAAGCCCTCCAAAATTGACAATGCTCCAGGACCTATGAAATGTTTAAAAAGCACTCACTATATTCCAGGCTTGAGATTAGTTATGGGAATACAGAGATCTGACTGTTACTCTGTTCTTAACGATAGGCTATGGCTCTGCATGGCTGAATAACAATGCAGCTTACACGCAGAACTTTAAGAACTATGGAGGCCAGGCGCGGTGGCTCACGCCTGTAATCCCAGCACTTTGGGAGGCCGAGGCGGGTGGATCACGACGTCAAGAGATCGAGACCATCCTGGTCAACATGGTGAAACCCCGTCTCTACTAAAACTACAAAAAATTAGCCGGGCATGGTGGCGCGTGCCTGTAATCCCAGCTACTCAGGAGGCTGAGGCAGGAGAATTGCCTGAACCCAGGAGGCGGAGGTTGCGGTGAGCCGAGATCGCGCCATTGCACTCCAGCCTGGGTAACAAGAGCGAAACTCCGTCTAAAAAAAAAAAAAAAAAAAAAAGAACTATGGAGATCAGAAAAGGGAAATTAGTTTCAGGCCGGAGTGTTTCGGGGAGGCATTATGGAAACTTAAATCTTGGCACTTAAATCTTGTCCTGACTATATAGGTGGAAGAAAGGCGCTAGTGGGGAAGAGGAAGTCATGACAGTGGTCCTGCCTGATCCAAGGTTTCACTTTCCGCTGTTTTAGTTACCCATGGTCTGAAAGTATTATTTACAATAGTTTGAGAGAGAGAGAGACCACATTCATACAATTTTTAGTTCTGTATGTTGCTATAATTGTTCTGTTGTTAATCTCTGACTGTTCCTAATTTATAAATTAAGCTTTCTCATAGATACATATGTATAGGGAAAAAAAACATAGGGAAACTATCCAGTTTCAGGCATCCCCTAGGGGTCTTGGAGCCTATCCCCAGGGATAAGGGGGACTGGGGTACCAATGAGTGGGCCAGGACCACGAGACTCAGTCAGGAATGCCTCTGATGCACCGGGCTCCTCTAAGTCCAGCTAGAGCAGCATGTTCTCGTGAGCATGCTAGGACAAGGAGGAAGGACTGGAAAGACAATAACATCAGTAAATGAGGCTCTGAATAGAATTTAAATGTAAAAGAAAACTTGTCACCTGTAACCCTGTACTTTGGGGGGCTGAATCGGGTGGATTACCTGAGGTTGGGAGTTCGAGACCAGCCTGGCCAACATGATGAAACCCCGTCTCTACTAAAAATACCAAAAAATTAGCTGGGCATGGTGGCGCATGCCTGTAATCTCAGCTACTCAGGAGGCTGAGGCAGGAAAATTGCTTGAACCTGGGAGGTAGAGGTGCAAGTTTGCACCACTGCACTCCAGCCTGGGCAACAGAGTGACACTCCGTATAAAAAAAAAAAAAAAAAAGGAGAAAAGAAAACTTATCAAAAGAGTGATTTTCATTCATTTTTCCTCAATTTTGTCTACCAGTGACAAATCTTGCAGTCCTGTATCTCATGGGTATGATCCTTTTCATGACTTCACCTAGGTAAAATGTACTTACAAAATCCCTACTAAACATATGTTTCTCATTAGCTCCCAGCCCCAGGAAAAGTTACTCCAAAAAGAACCAGGGCCCAGTAAAACTAGTCCCCGGCAAGAGATACAAGAGAAAATGGACTTTCCTAGGGATGGTCCTTTAACAAAGTCATGCATTAGACTTTCAATAAAGATGCTGTCTTCTCCCCAGATGGCCTGCAGAAATGTTGGATTTTCAAAATCAAATTCACCATTTTAAATGTTGTTCTGCTGCCTTTTTAACGGTGACTCCACATGGGAACCAGTCCCACCTTTCTCCCTGCTGGCAGGACTGCTACGTTGTTCTAGGAATGCTAGGAGACTGTCAGTGTTTCCCAAACTTCACTGTTCTTACTCATCACCTGAGGAGCTGTCAAAATGCAGATTCTGGCCTGATGCGGTGGCTCTGCCTCTAACCACAGCACTGTGGGAGGCTGAGGTGGGAGGATTGCTTGAGCTCAGGATTTCAGGACTAGCCTGGGCAACATGGCGAAACTCCGTCTGTTTAAAAAATACAAAAATTTAGCCAGGTGTGGTAGTGGTGCATGCCCGGAGTCCCAGCTACTCAAGAGGCTGAGGTGGAAGGATAGCTTCAGTCCAGGGAGGTCAAGGCTGCAATGAGCCCTGATCGTGCCACTGCACTCCAGCCTGGGTGACAGAGCAAGACCCTGTCTCAAAAAAAGAAAAATAATGCAGATTCTGAGTCAGTAGGTCTGGCGTGGGTCCTGAAGCACTGCATTTCTAACAAGCTCCCAGGTGATGCTGTTGCTGCTGCTCTTGCTGCTACACTGGATCAAACTTTGAGTGGAGGGGCTGCAAAGATTGCTTAATTGCCTCCTTTCACATTTTCTCCCTATGACTTTTCCCTCCCTCACTGAGGGCTTAATCTCTCAGACCATCCTTATCATCATTCACCCCCTTTTGCCTTCTGCTTCCACCCTTCAAAAAAGCAAATGTGCTCAAACTGCTACACTTTGAAGCAACTATAGACGTCAGTTCATCCATTCATTCAGCAACTATTGAGCTCCTACTTTGTCCCAGGCACTGTGCTACATATGTGGAAGGATGAGGTCCCAATACCAGTGGGACAAGGCTACAGGCCAAACAGTCCTGCTGCTCATGACTTCATGTCTGTGTGCAAACACAGCAGTTGACCTGCCCTCCTCTTTATTCCACAGAGATCAGAAGTCGTCAGTGACAGTGTGCTGATGGCCGCACAACTGTATCAATTTACTAAAACTCATCAAACTCTACACGTAAAGTGGGTGAATAGTATGGTATGTAAATCATACCCTCAATACAGGTAGATGAAGGGTCCTCTGTTGCCTAATTGCTCCTCAAGTCCAATCTGAAAGTTACAGCTTTTAATGAATAGAGTAACTATTTTTTCACGTTGTTTGCACTGGTGTGTTTTCTCCTCCACGCTGCTTACAGAGAGCAGAAGGGATGCAGAAGTGGAAAATGTTTGGGGCTTGCACAGCTCTCAGGTTTCCCCTTTAGTAAGCTCCACATTCTCAGCAGACTTGGGCTGTAGATCGATAAGCCCTGATTTCCAAGGTGACCATTAAGTGAGCCTTCTGTTGCTGAGAACTAATAGCAGAAACGTTTGCTTGCCAGGCCCTCTGCGTCTAGTGCCACCACTGGGCAGCGACCCTTCTGACTCGGCTGTAGTGGAAGCAGAAATAGACATAAAGAGAATCCTGGCAGCCTGACTTGATGCAGCCAGTCCTGCAACTCCTCAAACTGTTACCAAGCTGGGACCT